GCTCCCACTCATATGCCAATACCAGGATTGGACACCTAAGGAATAACTCCAGAACTTTTACCAAAAGACTGAACTTTTTCTTGTTCTTATACCTGGTGTTTTTTTTTCTTCTGTATTATTAACTTCACCATCACTATTTTCTTATCCATATTCTTATCCCCTTCACTTTCCCTCCTTTTCCTGTACAATCCATTGTTCTCCCTCCCAACTACTCTTTCTGCTCCTTCTCATCTACTCTCTCCCGCATCTTCACTTCCCCTTTCTTTCCTTCTCCAACCTGTTAACACACTAGCCCTTCCTCCTACACACTCACCATTTCCTGACTAGCCTGCTGTACCAACTGTACACAACCCCAGCCCCATGTAATACCTGACACAAGCAAGCCCCAGCAAATATAAAAAAATAAAAACAATCCCATGCATTCTATCTGATCACAATGCATTAAAACTAGAACTCAACAAAAACAATAGTAGAGAACATGCAAACAATTAGAAGCTGAACAACACATTGCTCAATGATCAGTTTGTCATTGATGAAATAAAAGAGGAAATTAAAAGTTTCCTGGAAATTAATGAAAATGAAAACATGACCTACCAGAACATATGGGACACAGCAAAGGCAGTCCTAGGAGGAAAGTTTATAGCCATGAGTGCATATATTAAAAAGACAGATTGAACTCAAATAAATGATCTAATGCTACATGTCAAACTCCTAGAAAAACAAGAACAAGCAAAATCCAAAGTAAGCAGAAGGAGAGAAGTAATAAAAATAAAGGGTAAAATTAATGAAATAGAGACTAAAAAAAAATACAAAGAATCAAGAAGACAAAAAGCTGGTTCTTCAAAAAAAATAAACAAGATGGACAAGCCCCTGGCAAATCTGTCTAAAATGAGGAAGGAAAAGACCCAAATTAGTAAAATAAGAAATGAAAAAGGGGAGGTAACAACAAACACCAAGGAAATCCAGGCAATTATCAGAGACTACTTTGAGAGCCTATATTCCAATAAATTGGAAAATCTTGATGAAATGGACAAATTTCTATATAATTATGACCATCCAAAACTGAACCAACAGGATAATGACCACCTAAACAGATCTATAGTGCATAATGAAATTGAAGCAGCAATAAAGAGTCTCTCAAAAAAGAAAAGTCTAGGACCTGATGGATTCTCTACTGAATTCTACCAGACCTAAAAGAAAAACTAATACTAACTCTCCTTAAACTTTTCCACGCAATAGAAAGGGAAGGAACACTGCCTAACTCATTTTATGAAGCCAGTATTACACTCATCTCAAAACTGGACAAGGACACATCAAAAAAGAACTACAGGCTAATCACCTTAATGAACATTGATGCAAAAATCCTCAATAAAATAATGGCAAACCAAATCCAACAACACATCAGAAATATCATTCATGATGAACAAGCCAGCTTCATCCCAGGGATGCTGGGATGATTCAGCATATGCAAATTAATAAATGTAATACAGTACATTAATAGAAGCAAAGATAAAAACCACTTGATCATCTCAATAGATGCAGAAAAAGCCTTTGATAAGATTCAACACCATTTTATGATAAAAGCTCTAAGAAAACTAGCAATAGAAGGAATGTGCCTCAACATAATAAAGGCTGCATATGACAAACCTATAGCCAACATCATACTTAATGTGGAAAAACTCAAACCATTTCCCCTAATGTCAGGAATGAGACAAGGGTACTCACTATCCCCACTCCTATTCAATATAGTCCTGGAATTCCTAGCCAGAGCAATAAGGAAAGAAGAAGAAATAAAAGGAATACAAATAGGTAAAGAAATAGTCAAAGTATCTCTATTTGTAGACAACATGATCCTATACCTCAAATCCCCAAAACTCTACCCAAAAACTCCTAAACACCATAAACAGCTTCAGAAATACAGCAGGATACAATATCAACTTTCAAAAATCAGTAGACTTTCTATATATCAACAATGAACAAATCGAGAAAGAATATAGGGAAACAATTCCACTACAATAGCCTCAGAAAAATCAAATACTCAGGAATAAACTTAACAAAGGATGTGAATGAGCTCTACAAGGAGAACTACAAACCACTGAAGAATGAGCTTGAAGAAGACTGCAGAAGGTGGGAAGATCTCCCATGCTCGTGGATTGGCAGAATCAAAATAGTGTAAATGGCTGTACTACCAAAAGCAATCTACATGTTCAATGCAATTCCCATCAAAATCCCAATGACATTCGTCACAAAGATTGAAAAAGCAACCCTAAAGTTCATTTGGAAGCACAAAAGACTGTGAATAGTCAAGGCAATACTAAGCAAAAAGAGCAATGCTGGAGGTATCACAATATCCATCTTCAAAGTATACTACAGAGTGGTAACAATAAAAACAGCATGGTACTGGTATAAAAACAGATATGAAGACCAGTGGAACAGAATAGAGGACCTAGGTATGAATCCACACAGTTATGCCCACTTTATTTTTAACAAAGTCACCAAAAATATGTGATGGAGAAAAGACAGCCTCTTCAACAAATGTTGCTGGGAAAAATGATTATCTGCCTGCAGAAAACTGAAACTAGATCCATCCCTATCACCCTGTACTAGTATCAACTCAAAATGGATTAAGGACCTTAATATCAGACCCAAAACCTTGCAATTAGTACAGGAAAGAGCAGGGAATATACTGGAAGCAATAGGTATAGACAAAGACTTCCTCAGTAGAACCCAAGTGGCTCAGCAACTAAGAGAAAGGATGGATGAATGGAACTACATGAAATTAAAAAGCTTCTGTACAACAGAAAAATTATCTCTAAATTGAGGTGATTACCCAAAGTGTGGGAGAAAAATCTTTGCTAACTATACATCCGACAAAGGACTGATAACCTGAATATACAGAGAACTCAAAACACTAAACCCCAAAATCAATGAACCAATAAAGAAGTGTGCAACTGAACTAAACAGTACTTTTTCAAAGTAAGAAATCCAAATGGCCAGAAAACACATGAAAAATTGCTCACCATTCCTGGCCATAAAGGAAATGTAAATCAAAACCACACTAAGATTCCACCTCACTCCTGTTAGAACAGCTGTCATTAAGAACACCACCAACAACAAATGTTAGCGAGGATGGGGGGAAAAAGGAGCCCTCTTACACTGTTGGTGGGAATGTAAACTAGTACAACCACTCTGGAAAAAAATTTGGAGGCTACTTAAAAAGCTAGACATTGATCTACTATTTGATCCAGCAACACCACTCTTGGGGATATACCCAAAAGACTGTGACACAGGTTACTCCAGAGGCACTTGCACACCCATGTTTATTGCGGCACTATTCACAATAGCCAAGCTATGGAAACAGGCAAGATGCCCCACCACTGACGAATGGATTAAGAAAATGTGGTACCTATACACAATAGAATTCTATGCAGCCATGAAGAAGAATGAAATGTTATCATTCGCTGGTAAATGGATGGAATTGGAGAACATCATTCTGAGTGAGGTTAGCCTGGCCCAAAAGACCAAAAATCGTATGTTCTCCCTCATATGCGGACATTAGATCAAGGGCAAACACAACAAGGTGATTGGACTTTGAGTACATGATAAAAGCGAGAGCACACAAGGGAGGGGTGAGGATAGGTAAGACACCTAAAAACTTAGCTAGCATTTGTTGCCTTTAACGCAGAGAAACTAAAGCAGATACCTTAAAAGCAACTGAGGCCAATAGGAAAAGGGGACCAGGAACTAGAGAAAAGGTTAGATCAAAAAGAATTAACCTAGAAGGTAACACACACGCATGTTCTCCCTCATATGTGGATTGTAGACCTAAAAAAAAATGCAGTAATATTGGACATAGGTCACACACTAAGGGGGGGACTGTGCAAGGGAGGGATAGGGAAAGGGAAGGAAACCTAAAACTTGAGTGTGGTTGATGTGCTTACTGTGGAGGAGCGAATATAGTAATCTTAAACTGGCAGAGTCCACTGTGGGAAGGTGACTGGGAAGTAGTGAAGCGGTCTGGCAGAGATGAACCAATGTGGGTTGTAATACACATGTGCATGGAGGCAATGCTAGGAATCTCTCTGTATAGCTATTTTTATCTCAAACTAGCAAAAATGCTATGTCTTTCTTAATATCGCTATGTTTTCTCTTCAACAAAATCGGAGAACAAGAGGGTGGAACAGGTTCTGCCCAGAAGTGGAGGGGGAGGGGAGGTGGCCCAAACGATGCATACAGATGTAAGTAAATGTAAAAACAAAAAAATGAAAAATAAAGAAAAACAAGGGAGGTATGTGCTGGGTCTTGGGCTTCCTCCTTTGCCCCTCCATCACCTTGTATGGGCACAGGAGCCTAGGAAACCTCTCTGCAGCTTTACCCTGGTTCCCTGGACATGGGCATGGTTTGAGAGCAAACAAGTGCCTATCTGAGCTAACAAGCATTGTGGCCCAAATGAGGATCTTGTTAGGCAAAACTGTTGCCAGGGAGCTGACGGATAGGCCAGGTTGCCATCGGCAGATCTGCTTCATCATGGATTGTTTGCAGATGTCTGCTGTCATTTTTTTAATTATATTATTTGTTCTTTATTTACAAATTTAATTGACAAATATACATTGTTTATGTCCAATCTGTTCAATGTGATGATTTGATATGCATGTACTTTATATGAATATATTGCTTTTTTTACCTTGATTTATTGTTTGCTTAAATATTCATTTTATGAATTTCTCTTTGGCATCTGTAATTGCTCACTAAAAAAAAATTTTTTTAAATCCAAAGGCTATATAGATGGTAAAATACCAGTGTAATGGTGCATACATATGTGTAAATCTTTGAACAAACGATTACATACATGACACTGTAGTGCCTAATTGTTCTTTCTCACTGAAATGTTCTTTTTTAAAGCAGTGATTTCACAATCAGGGGAAAAAAGAAGGGTGAGGGGTTATTCCTCAAACTCATTGTTACTGTGTGGTGATTAAAATTTGTCTTCTATTTTTCAGATTTTTACATAACATCAAATGATCTAAAATTCTGCCTGGGAGCTTTTCTTATCTGGTTTCACTGAAAAGACTGTAAGTAAAAGCAAGTGCATCAAAGGAAAACCATATAACTTTCCCCAAAATAAATAAATCCCAAACAGCAATGTCTTCACTTCCTCTTGCCATGAAAGAACATGGAACTCTAGCATGTTATGGAAAATGATTTTGTAACTGCAGTGGGACAGAGGACCCAGATTGTCCACTGAGCTTTCATGTATTCTCTTAGAAGTGACATTCAAAAAGAATATTGAAGACAGAAACTTTCCTCACCCACCTATTTCCTTTCTAGTCAAATCTAAAGACTCCCCAGACTTCTTTCTTCCTTTAACTTTTTATTTAAAAGGAGATGTGAGATGTTCCAAAGACAGTCTGTCTGTTCAGGCTTCAGTTTTCTCTTCATTGTAGCTCCTCAACTCCTACATTAACTGGAAGGATACAAAATCCCAATCCAGAGGTGGTTTCACCATTAACAGCTTCCCTGCTTCTGTGTGTCTTTTTGCCTTTTCTACTTTCTACTTGCCTTTGTGGCCCACTCTTTTTCACTGTCTTGTCACCTTCATCTGTGAACATATTCTTGAGGTGGTGACATTATTTCATGTTATTTTGTTCCCTCAGTACAAATATAGGTTTCAGTGATCAGGTGAAGGATAGATTCCAGCTGGTGAACGAACAGTGAAAAACTCGGAGTATATCTGTCATATGCCTTGGAAACCACCTTTTTTTTTTTTTTTTTTTTTTTTGCCATAGCTCTTTTGATGTGTATAAGGGACTGTTAAGATTGAGAAAAAAAATCAGAACTCTGAGGAACATAAATTCACATTTAATTGGGGGCCTCCAAACAATGCCCACCACCTTTGCATTCAAAGGATCATGAACACTCCAGGGGTGATCCATCCATTCCTCCTCATCCATTTCTTCATGTTTGTATGCCCTGCATTCTTGGCAATTCTCACAGCAGACATCCCTGTGCTTCCACGTGCTCTTCTGCTCTGGTGCTGTCCTTTGATTGTATTCAAACCCTCACTTGGGTGATGATTCTCTTTTTTTCTTCCTTTGTCAGATTTCTTACTTTTGTGTCAGAGCTGGTTACATCACAGCCATTTGAAATAATGTGCACATCCATTCTTGCTTCAATCATTTGTGAGAAATGCAAAATGCCAAGGCACTTGGCATCATGGCATGCACTATTCTGGTGGTGGGAGAAATACTGTGTTTTGCTTTTCATTTGCCACCTTTCACTTTTGATAGATTTGTTACATCACTTATGGTTAGAGTCACTGCTTTTGTGTATTTGCAAGTATAATTCCATGCAGTGTTTCTTGTCTACTTACATTTCTACCTGGGTATCCTTCTTGGCTCCTAAGACTCTCAGAAAGTCTTGAAGTGCTGAAACCCTCAACCTGTCCTAATCTCTTTCCATTATTCTTTGTTGTTTAATCTTCATAGCAATTTTCTTTTCCAATCTCTTACATTTATTGCAAAGGCATTCACTCCATTTCTGGAAACTGTATGCAAAATAAATGCTAATAAGAAGGCAAGGGAGACCCTGCTTATTGTGGTGTGTCAGCATTTTATACACATGCATTGCATTTATTTTCTACGCTTTAATTTTATTCTTTATTTTCTGTGCTTTAAGGAAATTTTATTCGTGTGCTCCTTTGATGAAATAGCTTCTTTTTATGGATGAGAAGCAGACATAGAGATGATTTGAATAAGTGGCTCCAGGGTCCATGAACATTCCAGTGTTTTAGGACAAGTGGGCACTAGGTGTCTAGTTCTTCCAAATCCTCAAATGTGTGTACTGTTCAGGTTATGCTATAGATGAGAAAAACAGGATACAGGAAAGTGACAGAGGGTTATCAAATGAGGTACATCCCCCTTTTGAGTAAATTTCTTCTTCAATAGGGGAGTCTGTGAGCAACCGGGGAGTGTCAGTTTACTAGTAGCACATGGTGGGGGGCAGAGAAACCAACATGAATCACACTTGACACATCACCACTTGAGCCTGGGTGTGACACCTTTGTATTCTACCATTTCTAACTCACAACAACCATGAATTGTCTCAAGCATACTGTGAAAATGAATAAAATACACATTAATATGTGTTTTTAAATCTCTTATTGAAAGGAATTATACACATACAACTTATATGTGACTGTATTTTCTAATAGAAAGGATTAATTTACTGGGCACCATTGGCTTTTTTTGCCTTTGAAATTGTCCAATATGCTCAAGTGAATAATTATTTTATTTGTGATTCTTCTTTCTTTTTGTGGGACTGGGGTTTGAACTCAGGACTTCATGCTTGCAAAGCAGGCACTCAAACACTGAACCACACCTCCAGTCCATTTCTCTCTAGTTATTTTGGAGATGGGGTCTCATGAACTACTTGCCCACGCTGGCCTCAGACAGCTATTCTCTCAATCTCATCCTCTCAAGTAGCTAGGATTACAGGTGTGAGCCACCACTCCAGCAATGTTGTGATTCTTGATTGAGTATATCAGAAGGTGGCTGATTGTCTTTTATTATTTTTGGTGTGATAGGAAGAACAGGAAAATGGTAATGATTTTTGACAGTGTCTTAATATCTGCTATAGTGCAATGTAGATGATTAAGAATGATTTTTCTTATTGATTTACTCTGCAGCTTCTTATTTTTCAAATTTCATGGCTCTACTTGGTAGACAACATTAAAATGGTTTTTAAAATATAAATTTAGAAATGTCCTATTTATGAAGGTTACTTAAGCAGATTATTGTATGAAAGTATAATTCTAATTATTTCATAATTTTATAAATACAAAAGAAAATTTTCAACTGCCAAATTTTTTGGTAGTACTGGTGGTTGTTAGGCAAGCACTCTTCTACTTGAACTCTTCCAGCCTTTTTTTGCATTGGTTATTTTTGAGAGGTTTTGCTTAACGCTCTGCCAGCCTGGACCTCAATCCTCCTTTTTTTTTTCCCCGCATAGGTTCAGGCAACTGGGTTCAGCTATTGGTTGAGATGAGGTCTCATGAACTTTTTGTGTGGACTGACCACACACTGTGATCCTCTGGATCTCTGCTTCCTAAGTAGCTGGGATTACAGGCTTAACCATCATGCCCAGCTGGAAAAATATGGATGACTGTCCTAACTGAAGTTGACAGTAATAAGAGAAAAGAAATTAAATGTTCTTACTAAAACACACATGCATGAGGATAGATAAGGAAAAGTGTGACCACTAATTAGTGGAGAACCAATAAGTAAGCAATGATGACCTCTGGGAAATAGAGCATTCTGGATTGTCAAGGCTCCTGCATCTGTGATGTTCCCATTGGAATTTTATTGACATCTTTGCTTTTTTGTCCAACTCAGAGCATGTCACGGCATTACTGAAGTCAGAATTTACTCCATAATATTTAACAACACTAGACTTCTTTCAATGAAGTTAACAGAAATTTAATCCAAAATGTAAGTGTACACTTTGGATAGAAGAATGTTGAAGTGATGCTGTTCAGCAGAGTAGCTGATTCGTTAAATCACTGACAAGAAACAAGCAAGGATTCCTGATCAACAGTGCATTGCCAAGTGAGCACTGGTCCACTCTTGTCTGAAGCATCCCTGTGGACAGTGCTGGATGAATTCTCTGTTAGCTGCGGTGTTTTCTCTGTTTGAACTGAAGTATTACTGGAAATGTTGAGCAAATTATATCTATACTGTTAACTAGCTTTTAAAGTATGTGAGATTTCACCTCTTGATTTATCAAGTTAAAGCACTAAATATAGCTGTTGTTTTCAGTGTAATATAATATAATTTAACTAAATGTCACAATCTTATGAACTGATATTCTACCATAAATGTTGCAAAACTGTCATAATAAATCTCTCTTGAATTTGCTGAAATGTATACAGTTTTTTAGCATGATTTATTTACTTTTACATTTGCCTGTTCCAGTACCTTGATAATGATGCAAATTCGCAAATTCCATACAGCTACATGATTTTTAATTTTATTTTGAGATTAGTCCATGACGTCCCTTACACTGGTCATAGCTGCTCTCCCTTAGCCTTTTGTCAGTGGAGTTCCTGTGCAGTGTGACCTGATTATTCACATGCAGATTTGTGAATTCTGTTTAGCTAATTCCCCCTTTTTAACCCTTGGCAGGAATGAAAAGAAATTTATCATTTCAATGTCTTTTTGCTATACCTCTTTTGAAAAGAATGAAGACATAACCCTGTAAATCTCTTTGGCTATCTGTCAATTTAATTTCATGAGAATAATGTTAGAAAGGATGAGGGAAAGCTTGTAAAAGTCAAAGGCAGTTAATGACTTGTGTGCTTAGGTGAACAAGTACAGGAAGGAATGCAAAGAGCCACAACCTTTCTGGAAGGGTCTGTGAGTGAACAAGCTTTGAGGTTTCAGTGGGGCTATTCAGCAGCATAAGAAAGGGATCCTTCTATCCCTCAGAGAACACACCCACCCATACTGATGCTTTACAAGAAGAAGAGAGTCATTGGATGGTCACATGCACCATACTGGGCACAATGATGAGCCTCTTTTGAGCAGTAAAGCCACCATTACTTCTTTTCAGTCATCCCTGTGAAAAGTTAAAATACCATTACCAAACATAGTTTGTGCTTTTTCACATGCAACCAAACTCTAATAATTCCATACTTGCACTTTTAATTCTTAGTTTTCTGTAAAACAAAGGAATGTTGATTTTTATCCCATAATTATTGATTCGTAATCAGGGTAGTAGTGGAAACTACTTTCAAGTGGCTTTCCAAAGGTATTATTAATATGGAAATGTGTCTACTTTGTGTGAGATTTGCAATTATATAAGCAGTTCTGTTTTTACTGTTACATGTATGGGGACGTAATATGTGTACATCTTTATAAGCATAGTATGATAATTCAATACATGTAGACAAAGGGCGTAATCAAAGCAGCTTAATAAATGCTCCCAACTCCTCAAACATTTCTATGTGCAGGGAACTTTTATTAAGTAAGCAACTCTGAAAAACTGTTGATTGGTAAATATGAATGATAGGTAAATTAACTATTTCTGCACAAAAGATTCTTTGTAGAAGTTAGTGGTCAGTTTTAACCCTTGTAATTCTTGCCTGCTTGCATAGGTGTCTGGATTCCAATGCTCTGGTTTGTGACTGTGACTTAAAGTGGCTGGGGGAGCTTCTACAGGGTTATGCCCTTAATGGCCAGACACAGGCCACAGCAACCTGTGAACATCTGCCAAGTCTCCATGGCTGCTCGGTAGCTTCAGTAACACAGGAGGAATTTAATTGTGGTATGTGATTTTCTCTTAGTATAGATGAAAGAAATGTCTTCTGTCTGTCTGCACATCACCAGAAAGATTTTTGGAAAGATTTGCTTAAAAAGGTGTCTCATTTGCTTTTTGTCATCTGTACTTTTGCTTAAGGAAGTTTTGCCAAGAGAAACTATAAGATTTAGAAAACTGAGGGTCATTTAATACAATCTTTATAATTTCAGAGAAGAAATATTGAGAAAAATAGTAATTTTTCTCAAAAAAGGTGATGAGAAGCAGTGTCCAGACTTTATAATTATATAATTATATGAAATAATTGATAATACTCATGCTAATAAAGTTCTTCAGCTATTCTAGCATTTGTTGGTTATTTTCTTTCATATAATGAAAACATGAAGTAATACAAAATGGATTTAATATGTTTATATTCTAATAACCCTAATAAAGCCAGCAAGTTATATTTAAAGAACTAATTATAGCTACTTAGGATATTATTTGATTTTCATTTAAAGCTTTTAATATAAATATGGACTATATTTCTATATACTGGAATCTATCCTTATATATAGCTTAAAATGACAATGAATGACTTATACATACGTATGTGTGTATATGAGGTAGAGTCAGAGAGGTGAGAAAGGGTGTGTGTGTGTGTGTGTGTGTGTGTGTGTATGTTGAGAGAGAGAAAGAGAGAGAGGAAGAGAGAGATAGGGAGAGAGAGAGAAGCAGAGAGAGAAAGGGGGGCGAGGAAGAGAGATTCAGCTTCTTGGAAATTTACTCAAATAATTGCTTAGATCAGAAATTTGCCTTCAATGTGATTTCACTAGCAAGCCATTTAAAAAATTCATCTAAGCATATTATTTGAACGATCATATTAATATAATTCAGTTCTATCAGTTGAGATGAAAAATGACTCAGTCTTTATTGCCACATAATTCTCAGATTTGTCCACAGCGTCTTTATTTATTACCACTTCTAGTTCACTTCACAGTCAAGTTTGGCCTGGATTGTGTTGCATCTTCACTGACATCTTGGCTTTCAGTGTTCTTTCTTCAATCTATTATATTTGGGGAAATATCAATTATATTTGGGGAAATATTTAAAACAACATGGATCTTATTATATCATTCTTCAGCCCATAGCTGTTTTATGACTTCTGACTTTACATTGAAACATACCACCCTTCTTATGGTGACACTCTTGTCTGGTTAGTCCCAGGGTACTTTGCCATTCACTTCACTTTTCCCTTAGCGGTGTAGCTGTGAGGTGTTCATTCCATTTTAGGAAATTGTTAAGCTTTGTAAGGACTCTAGAACTTTCTACATGCTGTTTTCTCTTTCTACAATATTCTTTTTGTATCTCTTCTTTTAATAGTCCTTACCTTTCATATTAATTATGTGGAAAAGCTTTGCTTAATTCCCCTTCTCATTACCCCCCATACACACACACACACACACACACACACACACACACACACACACACACTGAGTCAAGTCCCTTTTTACAATCTATCAAAACATCATTTATATTCCATCTTTGCATTTATCACAGTTAGTTATTATGTATCAAATTGCTTCAATGAAACTAAACACACAGGTGCAGAGGCTGTCTCTTTTAATCACTGCTACATCACTAGTCTTAGCACCATGCCTGACCTATGGCTGATACTGAATTATTCAAATAAATATACAAGTGAATAAAACCATTTTTTCTCAAAAGAGTAAAGTCAAGATGTTAATCACATGGACTTTTAATGAAGTAGGTAAAATTACTAAAGGGATAAATAATAGAATAATATGTATGATTATTTATTAGTCATAGAAAATCCCTAATAATCCACTTATAAAAGGAAGAGTTTGCCATTTAGAGTAAGAATTAGGAAAAATGTACTATAAAAACATGGAATTCCCTTTTGTACTTTGTTCTCTACAATTTAAATCCAATAATGTAATCTAATTCTTTTCAAAAACTAACCACTCCACTTTTATTAAAATAATTTAAATGTTACCCTGCTTTGCAAATTAGTTCTTATTATTCAAGAATGAGAACACTCACTTATACAGCTTTCTTCTACTGTAACAAATACATGAAATAAATCAACTTAAAAAGAAGAATTTTATTTTGGCCCACAGTTTTGGAGGTTTCAGTACATTGTTCCTGTAGAGGCACGGCACATCACGATGTATAGTGGGAGGCCATTCACTTCATGAAGTGTAAATGAAATAGAAGGATCAGAAAGGGTTGGGGTCATAATATCCCCTGAAAAGGCTGTTCCCAATGACCTGACTCCTTCCACTGGGCCCACCCCCTCCACTGCCCTCAAGAACTCTATGAGCTAAGGACTAAGCCTTTAACACATGGGCTTTGGGGAACATTTAAGATCCAAGCCACAGGGATTGGTGAGTAATTTTGATCAACCATGTTAGAAATCTAGATATATGAATTCTCATACATTACATAAAGTGGTTACTCAGATGCCTAATTGTCTAGGAATAGAGCCTGCAAAGTTAAAGCTCACTTTCAGTACTTAGTTTGAAAAAATTGGTCCGCAAAAATCAAATTTCTTCCATAAATACAGTTGTATTGAATTACTACAAATGAAAGTCCAGAAAAATTTCTTTAATTTACTTCATTGAGACTATCTTATGTAGTGAATCTTTCAAATATTAAGGTTTAAGTCAAATATATGTCTATTTTCTAAATTAGTACATATATTGCTGGGTAAATGAAGTTTAATGTATAAAATTTTATTATAGAGAGAAATTAAAATTGCTTATATCTCTTTCTCAACAACATCTCAGGATACTATAACTTAACAACCTTTAAAAAGGACTAATAATTCTTATATTACAGAGAGTCCCCGAATTACTTTTGAGCCCCAAGATGTGGAGATAACATCAGGAAATACTGTCTACTTCACTTGCGGGGCTGAAGGAAACCCAAAACCTAAGATTAGCTGGATCCATAACAAGTTAGTGCCGAGCACGTACATGTGACATAACTCTGTTTTTGATCTCAGAGGGCTTTTGGTCTTACTTCAACACATTTTTCTAGAGAAGAAATTACTAAAATTGTAAGAACGTCTTGGAGATAAAAATGTCTTTTAACTATCTTTTGACTTGCTTAAGCTATTGAATATTAAGAGATACTTCTTGACAGCAGTGATTCTGAAAGTGGCTAAGATAATTTTATATTATTTGTAGAAGGAAATATTGCACTTAATGGTAAACTAGTTTGTTTTAAATTTGAGTATAATTTTATATAACCTCAACTAAAATATATTAGATACAAAGCATTTCATATTTGACATTGCAACTTTCCTACAATAATAAAGTATAGGATTATGTAAGCAAATTGGTAATGAAAGCTATATAAGATTATAATTGTCATCTATTTCTCATTGTACTGTTTGACAAAACATAGAATTTATGAGTCTAAAAATGTGTATATATATATAATTAAATAGTAACACATTTTTTAAAGTGAAAAATGGTTCAATAAAAGTACTTGGACTTAATTATCATTAATTACCTTATTGATAACTAGCAAAGTTTTTCCTGTATTTCTTTCCTCCTTGTGTAGAAGTTCACTGATTTTCTTCTGTCATGTGTACAATCAAGTCTGAATTTTCATGCTTTTCTCCATGGAGTACTTTAAAAGGTATTATAAATAGATTGTATAGTTTGGCATATAATGTGCATTTATAATTTTGATCTGAAACTCAGCCTATGCTGATAAAATGTGCTCTTAATCTTTGTAAAAGAAAACCTAATAAATGCAGGTTTAAAATATCTTGAATAGATGGCAATTATAAATACTATTAAATCTGGAATATAGCCCGGGTAGAAGACTTTAGAGGTGTTACTCTGTGCTGAAGTATCCTTCACATAGGAGAGATTGCATCAGTGTGTAAATTTGTGCTGCCCAAGAAAGCAGGACATTTAAATCTACTCCTTTTCTATCACATGTTAACTCACAGTCTGGGATGAGGATATAATGGGAAGGGGAAAACTAGAATTTAAAGTAAAATAATGTAAGTTATTCAGATAATAAAAGTAAATCAACAAATCAGAAAACATGGAGCATTTTGTGAAGTCCTATATTCTCAGTCTTGTTAAGAGTTTTAGCTATGAATGGGATTAAATAATAAATATATATTCCACATCCTTTCAGCCATTCACTTAATCTGGAAGGTGAAAATCAACTTAACATGTTTGATGATGGGACACTCATGATCCAGAACAGCAGAGAGTCAGACCAGGGTGTCTATCAGTGCATGGCCAAAAACTCTGCTGGGGAAGCCAAGACACAGAATGCCATGCTCAGATACATCAGTCTGCCAGGTAAAGCTGTTCTTTTCTGGCTGAACTTCACGTAAGTGCATCCGTATCTACCAGTGACTTGCTCTACAACATGGCTTTGCATTGCTTCTTTAAAGGAGGCGATGCTTCAAAGTGAAATGTTTGCCACTCTGGGATTTTTCTCAGTTGGCTACAGAGAAACTTGAAATTTTTTCTTCTTGAAGTTTATTCTGTTTCTTTGTGCGGTGGTGCTGGACTCTCGAACATACTAGGTAAGTACGGTACCACTGAGTTGTACTCCTAGCTCTGGAAGTTTGTTTTAATTTCCTGCCTTAGTTCTCTTGTTAGTACACCATGGACATAGTTCCAAGACTTTGCTATTCTTCCTTCAGCACTAGTCCAGCTTTCTAGCTTCCTTGAGGCAGAGCACATCAGGGGTACCCAGTCAGGAATATCATCCTCTTCAGAAATTCATTTAGACTTTCACTCACCACAAATTCATTGCAAATATTTACTCATGCCCACTGGGCCAGTGTTAAGGATTGTGAGTCTTTTCAGCTCCCTGCAGGCTTTGCTTTGCCATAACTTCAATGGTAAAACAAAGCAAATAAACCAGTTACAATGACTGTGACAAATTTTTATTGATAACATTTCAAGATGGCGAAAATACTTTATTTCTCACCTTTATGAGCCTATAGTCTATTAGAAATAGCCATAATGCAATGAAATGGTAAGTTTTATGATGTGTCAAGAGACAGGATAGAAGTGTAAAGGACAGCTCTGCTAGGAAACGTTTAAAATCCAGCTCTGGGGAGGGGATCTCTGAGTTGCAGAATTTGGCAATATCTGTAGTATAAAGACTCAGTTCCAGGCCAGTTTCTAGTCATTAACACAGCACCACTGGAGGTGTGGCCCAATCAGTAGTGCCCCTGCTGAACAAACACCGTGTGCCAAGTTCAAACCCCAGTCCCACCAGGAGTGAAAAATCTCCAAACATGGCATCACTGAATGTGCAGTTGGGAAGAGACTGGCGGTCGCTCATTGTGACAGTATTTATACCAGGGAAACAGCATCTGCACGAGTAACCTCAGAACCTGAGGTAATAACAAAATGTAGCAAAATAATTAGAAGTAATGCCTTTTAGAATTTGCCAACTAAGATATTAATAAATTTATTTAATTCTAGAGTTTACATAATTTAACTGTAAATCATGGCTAGGCTTAAGAACTAGTTTGACAAACAGCTCTGGCATTGTCCTTGAGATGCAGAAGACACAGGGGAGACAGAGCAGGGCACATCCAACAGTGGAAGCCCTGGAGGGTCCCAGCACGGGCTTGGAGTCACTGATCTGGGGGAGGCGCAAGGCAGTTCAGGTTTCTGTGGATATTCATGGGTCACTGTCAGAGTGATCCAAAGAGAATTTTCTCTTAGAAAGCTATGTCTGGCAGCAGTTGGAAATCAAACAGGAGACTATGGCCCAGTCATGGGTGGCTGCTGGCATGATGCAGAAGAGCTGGTCGTGACACAGATAGGACAGGGCAAAGAAGATGGAAGAACTGCCCGGAGTCCTGTTACTCCAGAGGCTAGAGGCATGGCTCAAGTGGTAAAGTGCCTGTCTGCAGGCATGAAGCCCTGAGTTCCAACCCCAGTACCACCAAAGATTAAAAAAAACAAAAAGAGTCTCTCTGGGAGCTGCTCCCAGAATCTGCAACCCTCACACCTTCAGGTGGGGTTGCAGCAGCCTGCCGGGTCATTTCTGCTTTCTACTTCCTCCTGGTCCTCTTCTGAGGTCCTCAGCCTTCCCTCATGTTTTCTGCCTGCTTTATATACAGTATTCCTCACAGCCCTCCCCTTCCCTGTCTTCCCCTAGTAGGTCTGCCCAGCCACAGTTTTTTTCTCTTCTATTTGAGCTGTTCTTGAATTTTAAAGTAATTTCCAAACATTCAACTATAGTAACTAATGTGAGATTCTTAATTTTTGTTGTTGATATCTCCCTGAGATTTGAAGTAACACCATTATTCCTGCTCGTCTTCACATGTAATCTTTATATACCTTAGGTTTATTTGTCTGCACAAACCTACTTTCCTCTGTGTTTGCCATCTCAGTTGATAATATTAATGTCCTCCATTAACCTCGGGTCCATCCTCTACTGCTACCTCTTCTTTCTCAAGTTTCTAAATATTTACTTCTCAGATTAGAGTACTTGCCATTGTACTGACTTCAGAATCATTCTTTATTTCAAGTATTACAACAGCTTTCCCTACCCTGGCCCTTCCCTCCTCCTACAACACTGTACCCCTAACTAATAAAATTCTTCCTGTGGTATATTGCAGTTTCACAGACTGTGTGATTATTCCCTGTCCTCTGACCATGAACATACAAGGAAAGGAACGTCTTGCACAACTATCTTTCTAATGCCTAACATTTTAGTAATAGACTTAAGGCATTCATGTTATTAAAATTGGATTAAATCAGTTATTGAATTAGATTAAGTCTATTTATTTATACTCTGAGAGCATGTTCATTTCAGAAATTGAGGAACCCTCCCATTTTAGCCTCAATCTCCATTTTAGACATCTTGATACATCTTCCATTTCTGCTTGAGATACAGAAAAATGGGAATCTTATGAATTATTAGGAGTGGAACAATTTATACGAAAGTCTAAAATCTCCATTTAGATTTGGTAAAACTATTTGTAATATGTTCAGGTTGAAAGTAGCACAAAGCTTGATTAGATATAGCCTAAATGCATAGTGTGTGTGTGCTTGTGTTTATGTATGTGCTTGTATATATGTGTTTATGTATGTGTGTTTGTATATATGTTTGTGTGTATGTATGTATGTGTATTTGTGTATGTGTATATGTATGTGTGATTGTGTATATGTATGTTTGTATGTGTATTTGTATGTATGTGTGTGCTTGTGGATGTGTGTTTGTGTGTGTGTGTGTTTGTGTGTGTGTGTGTTTGTGTGTATGTATGTGTGGTAATTGAATGCCGCAAGTAGTACAGGGGTGTCTGTAGACAACTGCCACATGGTCCCAATGAGTCAATGATATTTTTCTTCTACTCTTCAATCCTTTGCACATAGGCACCCTTCCCCACCCCCTCAAAACTGTCACTTCTCAGTCCCAAGGTGGCTCCTCTAATCCAAACTGTGGTGAAAGTGATGACCAGCTAGATTTAGCCTGTTCCTTAGGGAAGAAAACTCCCTTCTCAGTGATAGTGCCTACCTCTCACTGGCAGAATTGTGTTTAAACAAAGTGATTATTTTAAAATGAGAAAACTGGATATTTACTGCTTTATATTAAGGAGTGGGTATTGAGCAAGCATGTTTTCATGTCTACAATACATTGGCACTATGACAAGGGATATTTAAAAATACATTTTTATATAAAACCCACAAGTATTTTAAGTTTAATTCTTTGAAAACTTAATGTATGTATGTAATATTTTAGTCTAAAGACAGATCAAAAACAGTAGTCATTTGCTGAGTGCTGTGGCTCACACCCAGCTTCTCAAGAGGCAGCAATCAGGAGGATCTCGGTTCATAGCCATCCTGTGCAAATAGTTCCTGAGACCTTATCTCAAAAAAAAAAAAACAAACCTAACACAAAAAAGGGCTGGCAGAGTGACTAAAGCAGTAAGAGCACTTGCCTAGCAAGCTTGAGGCCATGAGTTCAAACCCCACAGCCCCAAAAAGTTAAATAGTAAAAGGTAATAGTCTTAAAATCTCAACACAGAAAAAAATAAACCTTCCTAACTATTATTGGCTGTGTTTGTTTTGTTCTCCTCTCAAACCTCAGCCAAACCTCACTTTGTGATCCAACCCCAGGACACAGAGGTCTTAATTGGTACCAGCACAACTTTGGAATGCATGGCCACAGGCCACCCACACCCCCATGTTACTTGGACAAGGACCAATGGTGAGGAGGTTGATGGATTCAGGCACGTGGTGACTTCCAGTGGGCTTTACTTACAGAACGTCACCCTGCGGGATCATGGTGGATTTACTTATCATGCCAACAACAGCCATGGCTCTGTTCAAGCCACAGCCAACATAATTGTACAAGGTATGGGACAGAAGGTCGTGATCGAAATGTTCTTCCTGCCACACTCAGAAAATTATTTTTCAGCTTAAAAAGTAATATCATATATGTCAGCAGGGAGATTTATTTATTTGCCATTTATTTTTTGACATAATAGAATTTTCAAAACCAATCTGCTTCAGTTGGATTTCTCTTTCTGCTTCAGTCTTTATCCAAATGCCAGAATCAACCACTGTCAAAAGATATTTGTGTTTCAGAATAGTTTACAGATAAGGGGAAGGCACTTTAGCCATGAAAGTGAAAAGCTGTACCTTAAGTTCACAGTCACTGACTGAACTGTCTATTCACCTTGGCCTGAGAATAGCTGAGGGCTCCACAGGTAGCACCACAATGATAAAAGTATTTTGAACTCAGAAAGTAAGTCTTGCGTGTGGGATGCAATTACAATGCAAAGAAGACCTGCCCTTCTGTTGCTCTTTTGATCTTAACCTGAGGCTGCCCTTTTTTTCAGTTGTTGTTAGTGTGAGTGTGTGTGTGTGTGTGTGTGTGCGCACACGCATGCACTCCTAAGGTGTAGAGGTTTTGTAAACAGCAGAATATAAATGATATTGGAGTGATGCTGAAACTCCTGTTCCCTCTGTAGTAGTTTTTCATCATCTGATAAGGGATTCTTGAAGGCATGAATATCTTAGAGTTTAAAAGTTTTATTATCTTCAGATTTTCATAGGATGTTATCTATCTGAACACTAGACCCTAAGAAATACTGAAAGAGCAAAGATAGCCTAGAATCATGGAACTGACCTGCACAGTGCAGGGCTACAGCTGAGGGCCCAATTATGGGGAGGGGAGTCTTTACTGCTTCCAGAATGGCCTTGTGTGCTCCCCTCCCCCAAAGGCTGAACCTTATCCAGAGTAGGCTTTCCACCTTCGGCTCATGTTTTCTGAATTGAATGCTTTAGTAACAACTCCTTCAGTAGCAATACATCAATCATTTCTTGATTTCATTGACAGGTCTGAGGAGAAAGTTATGTTTTTCTGTACAAATGCTAATATCATGGAAAACACTAGCTCTAAAAAGAAATGAATTTTTTTCCTGAAGTCTTTTGTAACTCTACGGGGAAATTACTTTTACAGTGCCCAAACATTATTTTTACACTTGTTTTAGTTTGTAGGGGTTGAAAAATGCTTTAAAAGAAGTAGTGCTTAGTTTCTGATTTGCTTGCAGTCTTCTATGCCTAGTGTCTTAGTTTTTTAGACACTTCATGCCTAATCAAACATTTGCACTTTGACAGCCTTTTATCTCACACTGTGTTGGCCTTGTATCTCCCAGTTTGTGTGTAGTTTGTTCCTGGTCCTTCCGCTGTTCACCTGTATTGGTTGAGGCTTGACTAAACTCTGATAACACTTACAGACTGTTTGTTTCACATACCACAGCACTCAATCTTTTGTTTCTGCAGTGGTTTGCACAAAAATCGCCATATGCTTGTCTTTTGTTCTATGCACAGTGCACTTGTGTCACTTGCAATTCTCTGTGTTGAAATTTTTAATTAGTCTTGAAATTTATGAAAGAGGATTCTTTTATGTTGCCTAGTGCATGAAGTAAATATTCTAAGAGGTCTCCTTTCTGGGTTATTTTAAGAGGTGTTTGATTAATTTTGTTTAGTTCTTTCACTGCTCATTTACACTAAGATCACAATTACCTGGAGGTAAGCCTCTTTCCCTAGATTGCTAGAAAAACTAATAAATAGAATGCCAACAAACAAACAAACCAGCTCTAGAGGCTTACATTAAGCTTATATCAACAGTGTAAGACAAAAGTGTTTTTTGTAGGAGGCAAGTTGGTCATGAATAGAGCTAGGAAAAAGGAATTTAATAAAATAGGAAAATGCACATCTCAGAGCTTTCTGCTTTCACTCTGGAGGTGGGACTCAGTGGAAGGCCAGGAACACAGCCTCCCCATGCTTGTCTTTTTTAAGAAAAAAAGACAAGGCTGCTTTTTTAAAAAATTAATTAATTTATTTCCACTGAATCAAAATTCCTTCCTTGATCTAGCCAGCTGGTCAGTTTAGTGTGACTGCTTATTTACTTATCTTTTCCTATTGTATGTTAGGATGTGTGATCTTGGCATTTCTTTTCTGTTTTAGTCAGAACATATGAAGTAAAACAGTTTTTTTTTTGCCTATGAAAACATTATCTAGCTGAATTTTAATTATTATTATTAAAAAGTAGAAATCAAATTTTCCAACCTTGGAAGTCTGGCTAAATTTCTTAACTATTACCTACATTTATTACATGACTCTTTTACTATGTCCTAAATTCATGTCTTAATGTAGAAATATTTTTGTTCTTTTAAGCCATTCTTATTAGTTTTGTTGGCGTTAATAACCCTCCGGTGCCGAAAACAGACACACAAGAGACAGAAAATCTTGACAAGGCAATTTCTCTTGATCAAGAGGGTGCAAGCATGTGCTCTCTCCAGCTAAGCAAGCACACAGGCACAAAATGGCTGACAGTGGCTCCTCCTTATATCCCTGACACAGTCGTACCTGCCCCTCACCTGGGATTTGTCCAGGTCAAAGGTTCAGTCTCCCTCAACTACCTAAAAGGCATGAGGGATGGGTTAGGGCATGCAGTTTGGTGGGCAATGGAATTGTACAGGAAGCAAGGACCCTGTAAACATGCAAGTAAGTCACCTAAGATGGTGACCTTAGGAATTTTTAAGTAATCTAAGAGGGTAACAAATACTTTGAGAGAAAAGATCATTTTTCTCACAGTTTCATGAGTCAGTGTAATGCTCTACAAAGACCATCAGGATGGGGTGAATCATCTAGATTTTCATGCTGCCTCTGTCACTTACTGGTTCTGACTGAGAGGAATTCAATTCAGCCTCCTCCAGTCGGAATTTCTTCATCTGTGGAGTGAGGACAAGGCTGAGCCTGCTGATCTGAGGACTGTTTTCTAGAAGTCTGTTACAAATAATTTGCAGACATTTGAGCAGCTTCATGAATCTGTGTGACTGTGTAATTTAATTGTATACCATTGTTATTTACTTTATCACCTTACTTAGAGTTGATGAAGACTTTTTTTAAAAAAAGATCTTTATTATCCATACATAGTATAAAACTTGACACAAATATTCTTTGCCAAGTAATACATACTTTATTATATTACTTGTATTTGCAAATGGCAAATGGATAGTAGGAATTGTGGAAAATCTAATTCACCATGAAAGTGATTCACCAAGACATCTGTAGCAATTTTGAAAATCTCACTACTCAGGTGTATTGGGGATCACTGTGACCTTCTAAAATGGTCATGTTGATTTCTTTTTTTTATTAATCAAAATGTCATGAACAGAATTCCTTGCTCTAAACTGTACATGCAGCTGTTACCTATTTGTTATTCATATAAAATCAACTATGACGATCTGAATATCTGGAGCTCCAAATTTTGTCTTAACTGTGACTATTTCAAAGGTAAGGGTTTATGTGTTGCAGGACCATTCATCCTAAGGAGCATGTTTTTCTTTCTGAAATTAATAGGGCAATTTGTTTCAAATTTTATTCTGCATGTGAAAATTTGGAGAAAACTATTTCATGATTCAAACGTGATTTGTAGTTTAAAGTGTTTATGGCACCTAGTGAAAAGCGAGAGGGAGGCTTTAAATATATGAAGAGCTCCCATAGACTTAGAAATGGTCACTTCTTACTGACTCTTGCTTTTCTTCTTTGCAGACCAGATGTCCACATTTCTGGTTTCCTTATAAATTGGCAGACATGCATGAGCTCCTCTATGATCTTCATATCCTTGGGGGTAAATAATTGGAAACCACATTCTTAAGCATATTTCCTTTTCCCTGTAGTTCTGGGAAGTTATAAAAATCATCTTCAGTTTTGACGCACTGGCACTCTTTCATTCTCTTCAGCTCCACCACAGTTTACAAGAAGGCCCAGGGATGAAGTGGTGCTCCAAGAACACACTGTGGAATTTCTTTGTGAAGCTGAAGGCCACCCTGCTCCAGTCATTGTCTGGACAAAAGCAGGTATCAGCACATCAACAAGTGATTGTGGGAAGGAATAAACACCTTTTCTTTTTGAGTCTATAAAAAAGGCTTAAACTAATTACCATCCACATGTCATGGACAAGAAAACAGCACATTAACAGTATTGGTTAAATACAAGGCCATCATTACTTTCACAACATTTTCATTTTCAGCATTTGAGTGGATGGCTGTCCTGAGCCCATCTTCGCCGGGACCTAGTTTCCAGATTTTTAAAATGAAGTTATTGACCACTTAGCACTTTTACACATTTTTTAAAATTCCCCAAAGCTGGTCTGCACAATATTGCCAACTTCTTTTGAACTGATTTTCAAGTAAAATTCGTACAAAATGAAATTAGAAGTGAAATGAAATGCTAAGTGACGCTCCAACTCATTAAACATGAGGAGCTCTCAGAAGACAGATGTTCCCAAAGTGTCGGTACGTTGAGTGTGGGGCCTGGTAGGCAAAGTCCTCCTCTTCAGAGGGACCGGGCACTTCCAGGGAATCTAGGAATCTAGGTTGATGATCCTCTGGATGACAGCCTCTGTAAGAGTCTCCTGGGCCTGGAAATCTAACTTTCTACATTAGTTCAGGTACTGGAGCAAATCCAAAATGCAACTGCGTCTTCAAATTCTTTGATTACAATTTTCACTTCAGTCTTAGGGAGTTTGGGAAGCTCACTCTAGTTGGTACCTGGTTGCTGCAAAGCTAGATTCAAGCCCCACTCCTTCCTTTACTAACTGTGAGTGTGACTTTGGGCAAGTAAGTTAACTGCTGTTTACTAGAGTTCCCTCATCTCTGTGGTAAGGGATGATGGAATTTCCTACATCATAGGGTGGTTATGGAGATAGATTTGAGTGTATTTATATTTTTAGGCATTTAAAAAAGCAGCTGGCAGGCTGTGCACAGTCAAGAAAGTTTAACTATTCTTTGTCCATCTATAACAAGGCCTTTGATAAAGTACAAGTTTTCACTGAAATAGTTGAGAATGACTACCCCCATTTAATAGTTAGTGACCACAAGCAATAAAGTGTTGAGAAAGATTCAGAGGTTCAGTATAAGCTTAGAAGTAAGAAGTACAATGATGGCCTGGGTGATGAGCTGTGAGGATTATCAGCAAGAGTGTCACAAAAGCACCCTACACTGAATGTCCTACTTCACTAAGGTTTTTAATATAATACAAATATTGTGATACACAATACAAACATTATTACACTACAATAGTATCACAGTACAAATTTCATGATAAGAAATGTTAAGAAGTTATTTGAAATTTGTACTTAATGATCATATTTGCACTGAAATTCACATCATAATTGGGGAAAAGACTTTGAGGGGCAAACATGAAGGTGGGGGAATTCATTGGGAAGCCCAGCTTGTTCTGGTGAGAGGACATCTGAGGGGACAAGTCAAGGTCGGTGCCATGTTTGTGGGAATGCAGGGTAGGGAGGAGCTATCACAGTTCACACAGGCACCAAGGATTTCCTGAAAACCTTGACCCAGGACAGTCATGCAGTTCTAGCTTCTAGCTCTTTGCACCACACAAATCCTGTACGAAGTATTTTCTTTCTTTCTTTGCAGGAAGGCAGCTCCCTCTGGAAAGTCAGTACACGGTTCTGTTCTCAGGCACCTTGAGAATTGACCACGCAGCACTGCATGATCAGGGCCCATATGAATGTCATGCAGTCAGTCCGCTGGGGGTGAGAAAAGCATCTGTCCAGTTGACTGTAAAACCCAAAGGTAGTAAGTGCTATGATCCATCTTCAAATCCTGAAGAGAGAGCATTTTCTATATTATTGATCTTAGATTCTTACAAATTTTGTATAAAATCTAAGAAATTACTAATTTAAGCCAGGTGTGGTGGCTTTCACCTGTAATCCTAGTTACTCAGGAGTTGGAGATTGGGAGAATCATAGTTCAAGGACCACTAGATCCCATCTCAACCAACAAACCAAGCCTGGTGACTCACACCTGTCATCCCAGCTACATGGAAGTTATAAATAAAAGGATCATTTTGCCAGCCCCAGGCCTATTAGAAAAATACCTAAGGCAAAAAGGACTGGGGAAGTGTCTCAAGTGGTAGAGCATCTGCCTAAGAGCTCGAGGCCCTGAGAACAAACTCCAGGATTGCCAAAAAAAGAAAAAAAAACTACTAATTTAATACTTTTTTCCAATGAATGTTTTGTATAATTTTTTTACTTTAATATTTTATTTTTATTAGTGTCAATATAAAGTTGTCTTTAAAAGTTAGTTCATGTTTTCTTTTAGGTCATGTTTTCTTTATGTATTTATATATACACATATATTTTGTATAATTAGTTTTATTTTTGTGCATCTAAATTCAGAGTAACACACACGTAGACAGGAATAGATGACAAGTAGAAACACAGTTCTCCCACATGTAATGATATGTGAGGAAAGTCGCAGGAATAAGGAGGTGTTCATGACGACTAAGTGTAGACAAGGACTGCACTGAGCAACTGCTGTTCATGCCTGCTCTATTAAGAATTTTTTCTCCACTTTATTTTAAACCTATCACATGCTTACTTTTTAATGGAGGTTTAATTGAGATTAATGAAGGGAGAGGGTATCACAGGCAGGGGGTGCAAATTGCAACTCAAAGGTGTGAGAAGACTTGAAAATACAATATGGGAAGATGAAAGGGAATGAAATGTCTTGGAAAAGCCCATTTCTGACTAACAGGAAATACCAAAAACTTATTTGTACAATATTTCAAACTGCTTTTGAATTAGTTTTCAACTATGACTTAAAAATCAGGAGGTTTTTATATTAATAAGTTTAAAAATAGGAGAGGACTGGAGGTGTGGTCCAAGTGATAGAGTGCCTGCCTAGCAAGCATGAAGACCTGAGTTCAAACTCCAATACTGCAAAAAAAAGAAAAAGAAAGAAAGAAAAGGGACTGAGAGTCTAGTTCAGTTGGTAGAACTTGCCTAACACATGTAAGGCCCTGGATTCCATCCCTAGTAACAGAAAAAAAAAAATAATAAACAAAGCATAGAAGATAAAGAATGAAAGGTAGAATCATTTTACCTATGAGATTATGAATAAGAATTCTTTTCTTCTTTATCTACTAATTCCTTGAGGCGATTTTAGCATGCCAGAGAGTGACAGTGTGATGAAGAAGCCAAGCAAGACAAGGGACCAAAATACAAAACAAAACAAAAACTTTATCAGGACCTTTCATCTAGAGAAAGTGGTTGGGGAGGGTTTGAGTAAAGCAAAATTTAGCAGGTTTGCTGAAGGATGTGTAGGCCTCCATCAAGTGGGGACACATATCACATTTTAAGGTCAAAAAATGTCCCTGAGAAGGGAAAGAATTTGGCATGTTTCAAAGCGCAGTTGCGTCTATGATTTAGTGAGAGAGGATGAGAATTTCCTGGGGTGAGTCAGGCTGTGGGAGGATCATGCAAGAGCCAAATGAGGTTTGGGGTTTTGGCCAAGGAGAGTAGATGTCATGCTGCTGGCACTTGGAGAAGAGAGTGGCCTATGGACTAAAACTCTGCTAGTTCCTGAGTGTGGAATGGCCTTGGGGCACAGCCAAGTGGTTACTCTTGGACATGTTTGGTATAAAACAATTCTCAGTGAAGATGCTAAGCAGTAGGCATACAAGTCTGTATTCAAACAGTGTTAGACATAGTACAAGAGTGGGAGCAGATCACAGAGGTGTGGAGAATTCCAGTGGTGGCATGAAGCAGAGAGGAGTGCAGCAGGGCATTAGTCAACAGGTCTTCATGGATGAGAGTACAAGGGAATACCAATGGAGAAATGCTTTAAGGTGAAGGCACATGGGTAATTAGCAAGAATCCAGACTAAGTGATAGATAATTAGGTGGGCTTCTGCAGTATCGGGGTAGAACTTCTGAAAAGTTCTGATGCCAAAAATATTTTTATAATTCCCTATATGAAAATGTAATTTTTGCTGGGTATTGAGGGGGGGAGCGGGAGGGGGTGGAGTGGGTGGTAAGGGAGGGGGTGGGGGCAGGGGCGAGAAATAAACCAAGCCTTGTATGCACATATGAATAATAAAAGAAAAATGAAAAAAAAAAAAGAAAAAAAAAAAACCATGTAGATTAAAAAAAAAAAAAAGAAAATGTAATTTTTGTTTGCATAGGCTAACAGGAAGTAGGTTGGAGTTTTTCTCCAAGATGTGATCAACCAAAATGGCAAAAAAGAAGGTGGGCTGATCTCACATCAGAATGTTGAGAGGAATGCACAGAAGAATGGAAAGGGTGACCCTGTCATGACAGATAGGGAGATGTAGAGCACTGGCGAGGTGGTGTAAGAGGCTAGTCAGAGACCCCCTCAGAGAGGCAGATCCCAGCAGTGAGCTGATGAGGCACACAAACAGAGAGAGCTACAGCAGAAGCTGACAAAGGTCAGGTTCCATCCACTCAGTGAAAGGTTGCTAAGAAACCATCCCTGAAAATATGAGAATGAACAACAACAAAAAAAAGAATGAACATGTAACCTTAAGAATGTTAGATATTAGAATAAAAAGATATATTATAATGACATGTGAAATGTTTACAGAAGTAAACTTTATCAAAAAACAAGGAGATACAGCTGGAAGCTAACAAATACAAAGGAATAAGAAAAACACGTAAGGGTTTTCCAAATAAAAAACTAAGTAATTAATTTTTTAAAACTATGCTAAATAGTAAATTAGGAATGCTTAAAAATTAGTGACCCAGAATGGAAGTGTAAAATATGCAAGCAAGGTTAAGACAGATGGAGAGGAGAAGCAGATATTCTGTCTCAGGATAGAGAGAATGAGTGGTAGACAGCACTGGAGAGCCATTAGCTAATAATGAGCTAGAGCCAAGCTAGGAAGAAATCATATATATATATATATATATATATATATATATATATATACACATATATACATATATATGTGTTAAGCAAAATAAATAATATATTGCTAAATATAAATAATATATATATGTGTTAAGCAAAATAAATAATATATTGCTAAATATAAATAAAATATATAGCTGTCAGGAGCAATAGAAGTCAGGAGATGTGGAAATCAAGTCTTCAAAGTATTTCAGAAAAAATAACTGTAACTATAGTTGAGTAAATATGAAATCTCTCAATGATAGGAACTAAATAAGATGTTTTCAGAAAACAAAACTGAGAATCTGGCATTGAATACTTATCAAAATCTTATAAGAATTATAAAATTAAAGGCTAAGTAATGATATTTTCAGTCAATCAGAGAGTTTGCCAACAATAATGCTGCTAAAAAAATTCTCAAGGTTATAATTCTTAAAGAAGAAAACAATGACTGAGATTCCAAAAGAATGCAAAGTGAACAAAGAAATTGGTGAACACATAGTTAACATTAAAATATTCTCTGCATTCAATAATAACAACAGCCATTGAGATATTATATTGCCTAATAAGTGGTACTTAACAATGGAGTATCCGTTTGGACAATGGTTATTGAAATTAAGTTGCTATAATGTTCTTGTGTACCTGATTTGAGGTGTTAGTTGATAAGTTGGTCAATCTACTAATCTTAGGCTTTTGAAAGAATGAATGTCAGAGATAACAAGGGTAAATAGCAAATAATAAAAATATGGTTATTAATTTCAAATTAGAAAACTAAAAGTATAGGATCAGAAAATTAACAGTTGCTTAAATGAAAGGTAAGAAAGGAGCAAAAAAAAACCTAGCAGTTAATTTACAGATGGATTCTACAAATATTCTAAGCTAAAAGGCAGGGCAGTCATATATTAACTTATATATTCTCTTCCAGAGTATAGCAGAAGAGATCCTGCTCAACTGTGGTTGTTAAAGGACATTACGAGAAAAAAAAGTGCTGAGTAGTTTCTATGCACAACGTTGTCCATACAAATCCACTGAGCATACTGCATTAATAGGGGATCAATTATTGTTTTAATAGATGCAAAGAAAACATTTGGTTAAATTTTCTACTTATTTATTATTTAGAAAAATATCTTAGCCATATGTAAACAAACAACTAAAATATTTTCTACAAAAAATTATTAGTAAAAGAAATTGTAAGAAAGCATATATTTCAAGGGGAAGTGTTATAAATATTCTCTTTAAAATTAGAGAAAAGATCGCATTTACTCATTGTGATGGACAATCCTAGCCAGGACAAAAAGATAAGAAATAGCAACAAATGTTATGGCTTTTGAAGAAATACATACATTTTTATTACTTATGTATAATAGAAGTTTCCTAATACACAGTCCATAAACAGATAAGTAATCAGAAATAAGAGTACAGGATTATTGACTATGATGTCAACAGTGAAAACTATTTCCCATACTATATGCCAGCAACAGACAGCATGCTTAATTTTATTTTTAAAGTAATAGTCCTTAAAATGGAAAGTATAAATTTCTTAAAAATAAATCTAACAAAATATGTGCAAGAACAGTGTAGAAAAAGGATCAAATGTTATTAAAAAGAAGCTGAAATGTGTTAATCCTCTGACATTGATTTATAGCTCAAAGCAATTCTAATCAAAATCCTAAATGGGGTGTTGGTGGATGATGAACGGATGGGTCTAAAATGCAAGTGAAAAAGCAGACCTGAGGATGATCCAAAATGCAGGATGCAATATATGTATCAGAGAGTACACATTCTACCATTGGCACGGGGACCGACAAGTGGAACAGAAGTAGAGCCCTGTGCAGTGGCATTGCTCGTGACTGTGGTAACTAGGTCTTCTCAATAAATTGTGCTGGCAAACTGTTTGTCCACAGGGAAGACATGAAATCCCATTCTTTCCTCACCCTGTTCCCCCAAATCAATTCCAGATAAGAATGACTTTAATTTTTTAATCAGATGTTTTGTTTTTTTGAGAAAGAAGTAAACATCTTAGGATAATAGCACAGAAGACTTTGAAAAACCAATGATAAAACTAAGAACCTATAAGAAAAAATTAATAATGACATCTGCATTAAAATTCAGACCTTCATCTCATCTGTCAGACACAGAGAGATCTTTGCAACACATCTAAGTGACAAGTACTTTTTTGAGATCTCTAATGTATGAAAAATCCAATAAGGAAAATAGAAAGATCAATTAGAAAATAGCAAAGATAATGAATACAGTTAGGGAAAAAGTTAATTTATTATGCTGGTTGGGAATTAGTGTAGATTTTTCTGCCAGGTATGGTGGCACATGTCTGTAATTCCAGCACTCAGGAGGCTAAGACTGGAGGATAGTCCAGACTGGGCTATGTAGTGAGATCTTGTTTCTAAAAACCCCAAACAAACAAAGTTAAAAAGATTGATTGTTCTGTCTATGGTTATTCAGTTGCTCCAGCCCCAACTGTTAAAAGGCCTCCATGGAATTGCTTTTGCACCTGTGTCAAAATCAGTTGTGTGTTTGTGCAGGTCTGTCACTGGATTCTCCCCTCCCCTCCATTGGTGTGTTATGTGTCTGTGTCCTCTCTTTCCTCAACAGTGCACAGTTTTGATTTTTATAGCTGTATTCTCAGTCTCACAATCTACAAGGCTAATTATACTCACCTTATTCTTCTTTATCAAATTTGTTCAGTTTTTCTATTTCCTTTGCATTTCTAAACACACTTTATAGTGGACTTGCTTGTATCTCTGAAAAATTTTGCTGGGATTTTAATAGAAGTTGCATTAGGCCTGTATATCAACTTGGGAAGAAATGATAACTTTAATATCCATGAATACATGTCTATTCAAATTTAGATTTTCTTTGATTTCTTACATCAGCATTTTGTAGTTCTCAGCATGCTAGTACTGTAACTGTTTTATTAGAATCATACCTATGTATCCCATGCTTTTGAGCAATTGTAAATGTTTTTGTTTTAAATTTCTGTGCTCACTGAATATACAAATATAATTTGTCTGATTAATTTTCATCTTATATTCTGTGACCTTGCTAAATTCACTTTGGAATTTAAAAAAATTTTTTTTTGACAGAACTGAAGTTTGGAGTGTTTTTTAGATTTCTCAGAATATTCAATATAGACAACAGTGTCTTCTGAAAATAGGCACAGCTTAATTTCTTCTTTTCCAGTCTATTTGTCTCCTGTGTCATATATACTGACTAGACTTTCCAACACTGAACTGGATCAGGGTGAAGTGAACTGGAAGTCGTGCCTCACTTTCCTGTTTGATGGGAAGTATCTGCTCATTGTTTACAGTATGCTCTGGACATGTTTTTTCTCAAGATGTATAGGCTGTCATCTCCTTCTGAGAGTGTTTTTCAAATCATAGATGAGTGTTGAATGTAGTGAAACATATTTTATTAATTGATTGGTATCTTATGTGACTTTTCTGCTGCTGTTAAAATGGTGGAAGAGATTGATTGATTTTCAAATACTGAACCAATCTTGCATCCTGAGAATCAACCTTATCTGGTCATGGTGTATAAAACTTTTTTTGTGGACAAGTTCTATTTACCAGTTCTTTGTGGATGACTTTCGTGTGAATATGTGTGAGAAATATTGGTCTGTAGTTCTTTCTGGTTTTGGTGCTATCTTTACCTGCTTTTGCTATTAGGGTCTGCCTCCTGAAATGAATTAGGAAGAATTTTCTGACTTTTTATTGTATGGAAAGGATTATAAAGAATTGGTGCTACTTTGTTTTTAAATTTTAGGTAGAATTCTCCAATAAAATTATTTTAATTCTTCCCTGGAGATTTCCTTCTGTGGAGTTTTAAAGATTATCAGTTGCATTTCTTTAATCTTTATAGAACTATTCCAGTGATCTGTTTTGTCTGTTTTGTATTGAGTGAAAGTAGTGTGTGTTTTTTGAGGAAAAATAAGACATTCACTTTAAAAAGGCTATCTTTTTCTCTTAGCCAAAAATAAATTTTGATGTCACCATATAGCTTTATTTCAGTTTTACCAAAAGATATTAAGAAAGAATAATGAAAATCCTTGTACCCACTACTCAGCTAGAGAAATAACTTATTACCACTGTGGCTAAAGCATGTGTGCAGCTTCTTTTGTTATTCCTGCTCTCATCCCTGCTCTAATTATCACCAGCCTGGGTTGGTTCGATGATTATTGTTCTCCCAGATGTCCATGTAATTGATTTTTTTAAACTATGACTGTCCGATTTATACTGCTTGATGAAGCTGGCACATATTGACCGAAATTACACTGAAACAATGTGATGTTGGCTCATCTCCACAGCTCTCCCGGTGTTTACTCAGCCTCCTCGGGATGCGAGCATAGATGTTGGAAGGGATGTAAACATTCCATGTCTTGCTCAAGGAGAACCGCAGCCCATTATTACTTGGAATAAGGCAAGATCTCAACCAAAAATACAGTAATATTGAAAACACCTGTGGTGTGTTGACCCACTGAAACTGAGATAATGATTCTCCTATTGATTTATTGCTATTGTGATTTTTGTTAGCAAGTAATACTTCTTACACTGCAGCAGGTTTATTTCCTGGTTCTTCTTCTTCAGTGACTGTATCTAATTTTGTCTCAGGGCTTTGATAAAGTCTATCCTTGCTCATTTGCTTGGTGATAAAAACTTCATAAGCATAACTAAATTCCTTTAGGGAAACTGCTTTTGTCATATGTAAATGAAGAGTTGTAATGGCTAACAAGAAACCATTGTAAATTAATAACTCAGCAATGGATTAAAAGTAGGTCATTAGCTGAAACAAGAAAGGAATGAAGAGCTTGGTATTAAAGGAACATGAAAAAAAGTACTTGATTTGAAACTTGAATGGCTTTGAAAATATAAAGCTCCTTATTTATATATCTTACTTCCTTTGGTTCTTTGAGCCATATTCTTTCAACACAATTGCTTTTTTTCATGTTAAGTTTTTTGTCAAAATGAAATGATTGGTCTGAGATTCTAGTGTTCTTAAAAGTCAATCTGCACATATTGAATGTCAGTTTTTATGGGAAATTGTGACAAAATGCACTATGTGAAAGGTTTCAGAGCCATGTGGCTTATTTCATTGTTGCCATATGGCCACAGGCCTTGTGCTAGCGTCGGTTCATGTCTTCCATGTTGTCAGTGAGCATCATGCTGTAGTCCTCTGTAAAGAGTAAGTTCAGTAGCCTACAGTCTTCCCTCACTCCAGATGCTCTTTATAAACTCTCATTTAATACTCTCTATTCAAATATTTTATGATAAAATAGGAAGTACAATACGCATATATTTTTATCAGTATCTAAAGCCTTATTTGATACTCTATTAAATGCTTCATCATCTACCCATATCAGCAAAATATCCCAGAGTCTACCTTCCAAAAGATAGCTTCTCATCACAAATTGGTTGAGTGATGACTACGTGCTAAACATTTTTCATTCGCTATCCTACTTAACCTTCATAGCAATCCTTTTCTGTTTACAAGTTTGGAAGCATAATGCATTATGATACCTTGCTACAAACACTAGAAACTGCCTGACACAGCCAGATGAGAGACTTATTGGAAAGCTATCTGATTGCTCAGACTCAGCAAAAAGTACAGAGCTGTGAATTCAGCTTGGGGGCTTCTGAAGGTGCGGAGGAGGCAGGGAAAGGACCAACTTTGGGAAGAAGATGTAGTGGAGGTCCAGGCAGAGGGAGGGAAGTGGGTAACGCTGAGGGAAAGCCCCTCTGGGCCTGCACATGTCATCTGGTTGCCTCTTACTCAGCTCACACTTGGTCTTGTTCCACCTGCCTTTCTACCAGGCATGCCCCTGCTGCTTTTTCACCCCTACTCTCAGCTTCTTGAGACCTAGCATCTTGAACTTGTTTTCTAGCATTGGCCAAAGGCAGTTGTGAGAATCTGCAGACTTATGAGACATCTGTCCACTCTAACTTCATTCTGGCTTACTACTGACCATTGTTGGTGTGTGGATTCTTTTGAAAAAAATCTCTCCTATCTGTAGGTCCCTTATGAGTGTTTCGGGAAGAGGCAGCTCTGCCCCTTGCCTACTCTGATGCAACCTTGGAAGGCCAATTTCTTTTTCTTTTTAAAATTAACAACATAATAAATTCATACTAATTATGAATGAATGGATTTTAATAGTAGTTTTATGAAATGTATTTTATCTTGTTGAAGTATGTATTAATTGAGAAACACAGCTTCTATGTACCAGTGCAACTATACAAAACATGTGAGTATATGCTAAAAAGAAATAGAAGGAAACAAGAAATAAGAAAACATTTTGATGTTTTTTGGTGATAGCTTCATGATCATTTTTCTTCTTTTAAAATTTTGTTCTTATTGTTGATATCAGAATTCTCTTTTAAAGCAGGATATGAATAAATCATATATATTCATCCACTGGAGTAATGATTTTAATATAATTGTCATTAAAAAATTATGTGATTGAACTTTGGGTAGTTTATGTATTGTAACTAAGGGGAGAGACACACACTTCCTGGAAACTTCCTTCTCTCTCGTGCCTTTGTCCACTAGATTAATTTAGTGCCACTTCTAGTGCTTGATACCTGGCAGGTACTCAGTAGTATTTGTTGAACAAGGAAAGCTACATGAATCAAAGTATAAGTATTTATTTTTTAAGGAACCACACTTTCTTCCCATGACAGCCCTTTTCCCCTCTGTAGGCAGGTGTACAGGTCAGTGAGAGTGGCAAATTCCATGTTGACATTGGAGGTACCCTGACTGTCTATGATGCAGAGCTGGCTGACCAAGGAAGATATGAATGTGGGGCTCAGAATTCATTTGGCCTGGCTGTGACCAGTATGTTTCTTACAGTCACTAGTATGTATTTATAGCTACTTTGGCCACATTCAAATAAGTCTTTGTACAGCTCCTACCACTAATCTTTTCTGATTTTCCTCATTACTCATTCTCCTGTACATATTCTTTCTGGTCAAATGTGTTAATAGTAAATCAAAATTATGTTATTTTTCTAAGATCTAAGCTCTTAAATATAATTCGTGTTAATGAGTATGTAACAAGAAAGAGTGCCTCAAGGGAACATTAACAGCAAGGGTTTGCAAGTGAATATTATGTTTTCTTAGAAATTGTGAATTATAGGATGTGAAATCTGTTCATTGCCAAAATGTGTAGCCAGACATTGAAGTGTAATGTGGACTTCAACATGCACCAGTTACTCTGGTCTTGGTTTTCCTAGATTAAGGTAAAAATCAAACTGCCAAGTAAGCTTTGCCACCATGAGAACAAGTATCTTAGTACTTGGAACCCTTTATAATTGGACCAAATGTTGATTTTTTGCATTTTTTTTATCAACCTGGTTAAATAGTTGTAACCCTTTGCTAATTGGTTCTACATTGTGACTGTTTAAAAAATTGTTTGCCATAGTCTTAAAAATGTACTTTTTCCCTTTTCAATGATTTAGTTCCTATTGAAAGTCAGAGAGTGTATTTGTAGGCATTCTTGAGTGGACTGGATTCAAGTCTCAGACCTGGTTGTACCATTGGAGACCTTGCTGTGATGGTAATGGCGCTGTCTTGTTCTCCACCAGAGGGGCGTTCAGGAAAAGCACAAAAGCACAGTTGTCTGCTGAAGTAGACATCATAGTTGACTTTTCCTTCTTACTGATGGGCTTAGGAGTTTTTGTTGTGTTGACCATTAAAAGTTAAAATACATAAGTTAAGAACAAGCATCTGCAGTGGTGCTGGGTGCTTTGCCCATCTTCTGGTTTCCTGAGAAATGGGCACATTTCATAAATGTGGTTTTGCAGATTCATTTGTTTTCCTTTTAGTTTTTCCATTCTCTATGAGTTCATAAAAAAGATTGAGTAACATTTTCCTTATAAATATAGTCCTGGTTAAGAGTAGATCATTTATCAAATCGCATCTATAGATGTCTCTATTTTCCTATACTGTCAGTAGTCTCATAGTCTAGTTGCATATCCTTCTGAGATATGAAAATTACGAGCACCCCATTTGCTTGAATATTTTATAAAACATATATTTTCACATTAGTGACACATTAATCTTCATACATTTATTATACTATATGTTAAAAATGTATTCTCTGTGGAATATTATTCTTAAAATTGTAACAATATAGTTCCAGCAATGTTAGTAACCACCAAATATTTATTGTAATAGAATCAGAAATTCTTTATCACATAGGATTTCTCAGTGTTATAAAATCTTAGTCTTACTTTGTTATTCTTTATGAGTTCATGTTTTTCCTAATTTGAAATCTTTGGGAGTTGTGCCTGTTTTTATAAATTTATGGAGCTCTCTTTCTGCTCTTCAACTATTTATGAGAACTGTGGAAAACATCCTGGAGATATTTTTGAAAAAAGTTATTGTAGAATTTAAAGTAACATCCTCTGTCTAGAGATTTTAGTAAACCTAACCAATAAACAAGTTAATAAGAAGACAGACTTCCTCTCCTTCTGTACCTGTCTGTCTTGCTGTAGTATGCCCAGAAAAGCACTCAAATCACAGTGAAAAATCATTTTTGAATCTCTAACAAAAGAACTTCATTTTCATTGACAGAAATTTAACTTACCATCATTTTATATATACATACTAAAAGTAAAACATTCAGGCCTTGGTGTAGATTTGTGGCAGAACACTTGCCTAACATAGATCTCTAGAACTGAGGGAAAAAATTCAGATTAAAGTGTATTGATCGTTCTGTTTATCAGAGTTTAAAACAATATTGTGTTCTACTGTGTAGGGAACAGAAAATAAGGCAAAACAGGAATAATAACACAACAAAACAGAAGTTATTCAACCAAGTATTTTTTTGCTCTTGGGACATCTATTTGTCAATATAAGAGAAAATTAATTTTGTATCTTCATCTCATACCAAGAAAACTTCATGATGTAGAAGTATTTTTCTAAAGGGAAGAAAAGATATAAAGATGTAAATTGAAGTTTTGAATACATTCAAGACAAGGAGTGTGCGTGTGTTTTTTTCATAACCCAAATTAACAGAAGCAGGAAAATATGGCAATATAAAATAACATCCATTGAACGTTTTATAACTTAAACCCTTCATCAAAAGTAGAAAAATAATTTCTATGTTTGTATTTTTTTTGAAGAAGATAATTTTCCCCTTACATTTAATAGAGTGAATAGATTTTAAAAAGGGTTTTAGTAGATTTATACAGACTATAAAGTTGATGTGGTACTTACTAGGAACCTATCATTTTGTTTAGGATGGCCTCAGTGTATTTTACGTTGGCAAATATTACTTGTGTGTGCACATATCTTTCTTCTTCTAGATAATATTTTGCATCAGAATGCTATATATTTTCCTTTAGACCAAAACTTCTTTTCATGAACAATTTATTGTAACACCTCCTTTCTACATGGACATGCTGTTAAGTGCTGTGACGTGAAGACCCATTTCTTGCTTGTGGCTCAGTCTGACATTGAACACTCACAGTGTGAGACAGTGGGATTAAGTCATCACACTTTATTGATCTTAGACACTTTAGAAAACTTCCTTACCCATAACTGGGATTGATTTCCTCATTTCTTAAAACGTGTGGAACTGGATCCTCTCAAGAGACCTTGATATAGAATCTCTTGTAGAATTGAAATGTACTATAGGTATGAGGAAGCAGTTTATGACATATCTACCTGGTAGAATTCTTTCATTGAGATTTTTAATATGAGGCCATGGCAAAAGAATGCAAAGGTAAAAAAGAATTATTGAATGAAAAATATGGAGCACAAAATATTGTGTGCAAACTAGCCTAAATCATATAAAAATAAACTAATATGTAAGTAATGCTATCTTCTCTGAAATTTTAAGTTAAATAGCTCACTGTCTGTTGGACATTTCATATGGGTTGACCCACAGTCCATCCTCCTCTGCTTTCCGTCAAGACTGAGTGTCCTCCTCAATCAATCTCTTGAATATCAACATTAGTGTAGGTAGATGACTCAGGACCATCTTGTTCTCTTCCTCTTCTGTACCCTAATTACCAGGTCTCCTCAGATTTCCTCCCAAAGGTTTATCTTTGCCACTTCTCTTCTTTATATGAGTTTCTCCTCCTCAGTGCATTTTCTTACCATTCTAATTTAGACTTTTTCTGGAATATTCTAAATGATCTTTCCATCACTGATATTCTTACTTTAATTATGTCACCAACCCAGTAACTTATTGTTGAACTAAATGGAATTAGAATTTAAGGTTACATAAGTTGACTTTAAGTTATTAGAACTCTTTCCATATAGTTAATGGCATATCTACATGATATTTATTAAAGCCATAGTAATGCTATAGTAAAGATTACAGTGGACATGTGCTTTGTGCTCCAAGTGCTGCTTATCAACTGACTTCTTTAACCATTGTGAGTTCTGGTTATTATTCAAAATTCTGAGAGAATAAATCACTGGTCATATGATATTTTAATTCCAACCTTGTCATTACATGGGAAAATATCTGTTCCTAAGCCATTGAAGTTGTTGCTTAGTAAAGAGAAAACTTTAAGGTGTCAAAAATATTGATTATATTTACTCAAACATTAACGAAGTGAAATTGATAATTGAATCATTTTAAATTGGTATTCTACTCTATTTGTTCATTTATTTTGAATGTGGCATAAATCACTGTATATATTAAGAGATACATGATAACGTTGTTTTCCTGACCAAACTTTCATAATGCAATGACTGAGGGATATTTCTGTGAACATCATTATGTACCTAGACTCTATAGCCACAGGGAACACATGCTACCTACAGAGATGAGCTATATGCTCCAAAAATTTTAGCAGTGAATTTCAGTATCACCATATCTATAGCATTTCCAGATTTTTGGTGCACAAGTGTTTAGAAGTTATAAGGAAAGCCAATAATCAAAATAAGAGTTATAATCCTAGTCTCTGAAAAAAGCAGCATGGGTGTCCAAGGCGACAAACCCCCTTGCTGTTTAATGATGCAGAGGGAGGGTGAGCAGAGTTGTTGCTGTGGAGAGGAGGCGGGGTCACCAAGGCAGTGCAGAGTGGGCACCTCTGCTGAACCCGTGCCAAGGGCACTCTTTTTAGGGAAAGGTAGAGTGAGATAATGTCTCTTTAGTTATGATAGCTACATTACCTGGCTAGTTTCCTCCACAGGGAAAAAAAAAGATCAATGAATGCCCAACCATGTTGGTGTTTGTGAAGTCTAGGCATTTTGAAGCGAGAATGACAGCAGGAGCAGAGCAGTTTTATTTCATTGACCTTCCTCTGGATTCTGTCACCAAGTCACTCATTGCCAGGTTCTTGATGTGTGGATGCAGAGCAGTGAGTGGCCAGGGGACCAAGCCTTCCTTTCCTGAAGGGACTCTCCATGGTGGTGATAGGGTCTCATAGGTACAGGGACACGTTGAAAGTAGACACTCATCAGGTGACTTGAAACTCATGTTTATTTCATGTATCCACCTAGGCCTTCTTCTCATTGGCTTTAAGCCTGAGACTTAACAAGGAAAAACCATCTATTTCTCCCACTACCTCTGCAAAATTCTGCATAAAAAAGAATATGCTGGGAACTTCTTAATCATTCCACTTTTTATGCTGTGAAATGAGGCAGTTTGGAGAGACTCACAGTATTGATTGGCTCTAAGGTGCCTCAACACACCGAGTTTGCTTTACATAAGGCTGTTCTGAAGAAATTTACGGAAATATTTCTGCAATTTGTACCAAATCACATTAAGGAACACTGAAATCAAATGAACAATAAAAACCATATGGTTGTACACTGAAGCCATATAAACTTTTAAAAAATCATAACTAAATCACACAAAACGAGAAATTGTTACCTATTTAATGTACTTTTGAGAACCTGTAAACGAACAACTTTCAAGTGATTTTTTTTATTGGTGCACTTTAGAATTCACTTATTTCAGAGAATGTTTACATATTATGTTGCCTGTTTTTGCTTCTTTAATTACTTTGTTGAAAACATGTAAGTACAGATAGAAAATATTATAATGTCAACTTTTTAGATGATCAAAGTAGAAAAATAGAATTGAAGTATAGAATCAGAAGCTGTGAAAGTCTAAGATTCCACTATAATGAACTGTGAGGAACACAGAAGGGCAAAGACAGGAGGCCACACTCAGCTGTGCTCAGGTTCTGGGTGTGACATTCCTCTGCCCTCCAGCAGCTAGTCTCAGCAGAGGAAACGTGCAAGAGCTGCCTTTTATGTCACCTTTCTTGTTACTTTATTCTTGTTTTCACTTTCATACACCAGCTTGTTTTTTTATTGATATTAAATAGCAGATCGAGTTGATGGAAATGAGAAGATAATTAATGATTATGTGAAGGTAGATTAATGACAGATATTAAACACAATTGTAAAAGCCACCTTGCATTTGCATTGTGACATGTAGTTTTACAAGACCTTTACATGCTATGCTCTTCCTCACTTTTTTTTTTTTTGGAGTCGGGGTCTCGCTGTGTAGTTAAAGCTGGCTTCAAATTGGAGATCCTTTTATTTATTTATTTATTTATTTATTTTTCCTTTTATTCATATGTGCATACAATGTTTGGGTCATTTCTCCCTCCTTCCCCCAGCCCGCTCCCTTACCTACCCCACCCCTTCTCTCTCCCCCCCATGCCTTTTTAAAAATCTGCTATTCACATTTAATAACTACATGAGTCCTGTGCCCTTTGCTCAACAATTCTTGTTATTTGTTTTATTTGTGAGTCAAAGGTGACCAGGAACATTGTAAAATCCCTTATGCCTTGTAAATTTTTATACAACTATAATGGCAAGGCTATTCTATAAATAGAATAAAAGCATATTTAACAATCAAATAAAATTCAGATTAACATGTTAAATGGTGCCTTCCTGAAATTTACACATCACTTCCCAGGTTCTGTCTGCCACAGTGAATAGCCTTTTGCATCTTGACATCTCAGCACTTCTAGGTCCCATGTGGTAACTCACTTAGCCCCGTGCACAGCTTTCTAACTTCCAGATCTGAGAAGACCTTTGAGACTGTGTTGCCTCAGGTGCAGTGACCAGGGACAGTGTTTGCCAGGCATGGATGCATATGAGTAGTGCCACTTTCTATACTGAGTCCCAAAGTGAAGGAGTGAAGGGGAAATGACAGAAAAAAATTAACATCCTGATTGGTCAGCCAGGAGAGACTGATTTGATGTTGGTTGCTTTATTTCCAAGTAAAAGTTACACATTAAGGAGGCTTATTATTTTAAACGTTGCTATGTACTTTATCACCACACGTGAATTGTACATATTAATGATGGTAAGTGTGATATTTGATGTACTGACCACCTCCACCCTCCCTCTGCCCCACCCCATTCCCAATCCCTAATAATCACTACTCTATTTTTGGGTCAACTTTTTCTTTATGGTGGTATCGGGGATTGAACTCTGGGTCTACCACTTACTAGTCAAGCCAATGCCAGTTGAGCCATGCCTTTGTCCCTTTTGTTTTAGTTATTTTGGGGGATAGGGTCTCACATTTTTGCCTGGGTCAGCCTGGGCTGAGATCCTTCTGTCTATACCTCCCACATAGCTGGGATTATAGACATGAATCATCACATCTTGTTACTGGTTAGGATAGGCTGGTTTGGAACTGCGATCTTTCCACCTCCCCAATAGCTGAGATTACAGGCATGAGCCACCATGCCCAGTTCAAGTGAACTTTTTAGCTTACACATAAGAAAGAACATGTAGTACTTGTTTTTCTATGTCTGATTTATTTCACTTTACAGTGTCTTTCAGTTCCATGCATTTTGCTCCATGTGATAGGATTTCATTCTTTTCTGGCTGAGTCATAATCCATTGTGTATATATGTCATGTTATTTTTGTCCATTTGTTTGTTGATAGGCACCTAGGTTGATTACATATCTTAGCTATTGTGATAAGTGCCCCGTAAACATGGACATGCAGGTGTGTTGATATTTTTCCTTTGGATATGTGCAGATGAGGGATAGCTGGATCACATGGTAGAACTACTTTTAGGATTTTGAGAAACCTCCATACTGCTCTATATAATATCTGTATTAGTTTACATTCCCACCAACAGTGCATAAAAGTTCCATTTTCTACACATCCTTGCTAGCATTTGTTATGTTTTGTTTTTATAATAATAAACTTAGCTCTTTTCATTGACCTTTTTGAACACATATCAGGTTCACATATCTATACTGAGACTGCTCAGTTTTCTCATAATTACTATAATTATATTAATTGATCACTTGTCCCATTATGCTTACTATTTACCTAACAGCCATAATGAACTTAACTATTGCGTATTTTAATTCTGTCAATTATTGTAATTTGTGTTTTGGTTTTCCACTTTTTCCACTAAGCATTTTTCTCCATAGCCATCCTTGTACACATCCAGTCGATTCTAACAGGTGTCTAATACTCCCTACAGTTCACGCACTACGTTCCTCTCACTCATTCTTCTTTTGCCATACAACCTATTTTCTCCAATTCCTTCAAACACAAAGTTGCAATGAGCTGTCTCATACAGACTCTTACAAATTGGATTATTTGATTATTTGGAATGTATGCCTAAGGCTGGAGTTGCTGAATGAAGTAGTATATGCATATGTAACTTTAGTAAGTCAAAACAAAACAAATCCTCTATATAAAATCTGCAAAATAGAGAAGTCAGTTCTACAGTCTCACCAGCCTGCTTGTACATGTATATGTATACATCCCTGTCAAAATGGGGTTTTAACCACTTTTTAAATTTTTAGACTAATAAATATAAAATGATAGTTCATTGATACTTTGGATTTTATTTCTGAGGTTATAAGTGAGTTTGAATTTATGTTATAGTCTTGGTAACTTTCAGTGTTTCCTCCATTTTTGTAACTTGCCATGTATACTTTTCTCTTAGTGTGTTATAAGATTCCCTCATATAAAATAGAACATTAATACCTTATCAGATTTAGAAATTGCAAGTATTTTCAACCATTATGTCATTCATTTTTAGCTCTTTTCTTCATTTTCTTCCTTTGAAAGGGAGCCTCATTACTGTGGTTATCATAAAGTCGAAACTACATTATAGTGTACTACCTACTCACACAACTGCACATCATCTAATTTACCAAGAAGGGCTCTCAGAAGGAATCTTTGACTGTATTGTCTTTCCTTATAATATTTCTGTAACATTGGTGTTTTCGTGAAGTTGTCTTTTGAGAGAGAAATAAGATAACCTAGTGTGTATATACTGTCAAAAATATGAAGTAATTTTCTTATAGCAAGATGTAGAATGCTGTGTGGACCAATTTATTTAAAAATAAATAAGCGTAAGTATAATGATGAATGAACATATACAGAGACTGTAGATAGATGCATGCATAAAACTTTCAGATATTATGCTACAAACTTGTCTTATATGTGTATTATTTACTTTATTAATTTTTTTCTGATAACAAGTAGAATGCATACTTATGATTTTTTAAGTGTTTCATCTTTTATTTTCTCTTAGTGGTGTTATTTTCAAGCTCAGTTTTTGATGTTATACTTACTCTTGCTCTCAATACTTAACATTACTAAAAAGTTATACTTGTATCACCAATTTTACTGTACTTTTAGTGTCTCAAAATGAGCTAAATTTGCTTGATTACTTATATGAGCTTTAAATATTTATTGGTAATTGTCCTAATTTAATATTTGTTCTTTGAAGATTAAACTTCTTAAATCGTCACCTAGCGCAGATGTACTGTGTTGGAGACACTCCACTCTGAGGGGATAGCTTCCTTTATGATGCTGAGTGCAAAATTCTCTCATATTGTGAAGCTAGAGATGTAGCATGGGTTTTTTTGCACTGAAGTCTTCCTAGGAGGTTGGATTTTGCTCTAAGAAACCTGCCTGGGAGTGTGATGATATTTACTTTGTTTTAATGTTAACATTAAAGCAAGGTGGCTGAAGAGATAGGCATTTTATATCTCCTCCAAGATGATGAGTTGTAGCAAGTATGGGTCCCATTTGAATCAGTTTTGTGGAAAAGGATATGCTTTACAGAGCTTAGCTGGATTTTGGAATGGTTTAATTCCCCAAATCATATTGTGACTGTTCTTAGAATCTTCATTGCAGGATAACTACCTACTTCTTCTCTTCAATGAACTTCTCATCAATGAAATGTAGACATTGCATAACACTTTCATTAGCCTAAATGTTTTCATTTTTAACATGTAATGCCACTTACAGCACAGCATTCCTTAATCCAAGGTCTGTTTGATCTTTTTATTCATGGAATTTATTCTCAAAGCAATACAGGATTGACAAACTGGAGATGACTTCGTTGAAGCATCCATTCTCGCTGCTGTACGGAAGGTTGACAGTGCAATTAACGCCACACGAAGACATTTGTTTTCACAGTAAGAATTCATTTTATTTTGGCTGTAAAATTGTTTTCATTTCTGTTCTACTTAATTTTTATAGTCACCATGAAACACAACAGGTATGATGCAGAAGATTGTCAAAGAGTGTCTTTAGTTCTTGTATGCACACCACCTTCTGGGCTAGCCAGCATCATCAATTCAGCCCTAAAGGAAAAGTGACTTAAGCCCATAGGGTCTAGGTGGTGTTAGTTTATGCCTAGTTCCATGCAGTCAGATATGGGTATCAGGGAACAGGCTTTGGTACGTCAGCTTCTCTCAAACAGCATCAGGTCAGTGCTCCTGAAAATTGACAGTGATTGTCAAATTGACATGGCTGGTCAGAAGTTGATAACTCACAGAGAAAAAGATTGGCTTAGAATATGTGGCATTTAGCTTTATTTTAATTTGAATTGGAATATTTTAAACAAGTGAAACCTTTCAATGTCACAGACTCCTTTGTGTTTTTAACACTGATATGTATTAAGGAAAAGATGACTTTTGTTTTCATAGTCTTAGTATATACCCAGTAATTTTAGTTATTGATCAAAAATAAGGCAAATGAAAGTGCTTTAATCAAGTGTTAGCTTCATGCACATCCCCTGGCACTGTGGGTTGGTGGTCGGGGACTCGTGTTCTAGAGCTGTCAGCTATTTGTACTCTTACTGTAATCCCTCGCTTTATCACTTTGGGTGACCTTGGGCAAGTGACCCAGCATTTTGTAGCTTAGACTTCTTGCCTGTAAAATTGGATTTCTATAGGATCTTCATGGGTGTGCTTGTGAGACGGATATAGATAAAAGACTTCAGCAGTGCCTGGTGAATCATTGCTATTGTATGATGTCAAATTGTTCTGATTCAAGACATAGAGGATGAGACACATCACTTGGCCAGCTCTCTGAAAAGTAAAATCTAAGGAATGATTTTCTTTTAAACCTATTGCAGGTCTACAAATGTGCATAAACCACTATCGTATGATGGCCAGTGGGCGTGGTACCTGGGATGCAAAGGTTATTAGGGCATTGTTTTAGTCAGCTTTCTGTTACTGTGACAAAATGCCTGAGAAAACCAACTTAAAAGGAGGAAATAATTATTGTGGCTCACTATTTTAGAAGTCTCAGTCCATGTTTGCTTAGTAAACTTTGCTTTTACCTGTGGTGAGGGCAAACATCACAGTGGGTAGCATGTGATGGAAGGAAGCTGCTCACATCATGGAGGCTGAAAGGCACATGAGAGCATGGTTTCCAATTTACCCTTTAAGGGCAGGACCCCAAATGACCTGACTAACCCAAACAGGACCCATCTCCTAAAGTTTCCACTGCCTCCCAGTAGTACCATCAGCTGAGGACTGGGCCTTGAACACATAAGCATCTGGGGTAAATTTAAGATCCAATCTAAAACCAGCATCATTTTATCCCTAACCCAACTCTTTCTTTTATAGAGGAGACAATATATGAGCAATTTCAGTACATCTTGCTGTGTGCATAACACAAGTGTGAAGGATACATAAGTAATAGAGCAGGGGAAATGATAGCTTGTCAGAGTGATGCCTGAGCCGGTTTCTAAAGGCAAAGGGATTTCCAGAAGCTTACTTTCAGGGAAAGAGAAGACAGAAAGGACCAAGTTCCACAACTGAGTGTTACACACTAGTTCAGAGGGTGTTTTGAGCCCCTAGAAATCCATGTATGAACGTCTTAAGTTTATAAGCTTTGCCACAGGTAATGCTTTTTATAGAGAACAGTTGTTTAAATCATTCATTCATTAAAAATATATTTTTTGAGTTCAGCACTGTAACTTACACTTGGGATTCATTTGTTAAAAGTGAAAAGAACTCACAGCTCCCTGTAGAGCTTATATTCTCTGTTGGATCTTTTACTCTTTCTAACTTTTGTAAAGTATCTTATGTGCACAGCATACATAAGATTCGTGAATGCTGCAGTTTTGCCTTGCAGAGTCATATCTTTTGTCGTTTGCAGAAAACCTCACACTCTCAGTGATCTGCTGGCTCTGTTTCATTACCCGAGTGATCCATTCACTCTGGGGACAGCAAGAGCTGGGGAGATTTTTGAGCTCACACTGCAGCTGATCCAGGAGCGTGTGAAGCAGGGGCTCACTGCAGATCTGGACAGCAGAGGTCAGCATGCAACCCTTCTATTTTAAGTCAATTCCTCATAGCAGTGCAGGCTTCAGCTCCAGCAGTGCACACTGGACCTTGCCTCTTTAGAACATCCTGCAATTTAGAAATTAATTTACTTTCCACATTTGCCAATAATGCAGATGTTTCTGATGAGAGCTGTAGCTAAAAGTAAGGATGATAAATCTGCATTTGGATTTGCCTCCACTTTTGCCACTGTAAATAACTACATGAATGTAAAGGGATCCATTTTATGAGAACTTCTTAAATCTGAAAGGTGTTATATTTCCTTTACAGAAACACTTTAGCCCTTGGAAAATGTTCTTCTATTTACCTTTGTAATCACTCAAATTATTCAGTGGATTCCTTGAAATTCCTTCTACCATCTATAACATTTATATCACCCCCTCTCTTTTCTTTAATTTTGTTTTTTGCTATGTTGAAGTTCTTATGCATTTCTTTCCAAAACCAGACTTCTACCTGGTAAATGTCAAATGAGATGTGATAAAAAAGCTTTCAGATTTTAAGTCTTTAAAATGAAATGATTATGACACTCTACTGTAATTATTTATACTGCGAGTGCAACAGAAACTTCTACAAGCCTAGCCTTTATTTACTTTCTTCAGAAGATAAACTGGATCATGGGGAAGAATTCCATCTATGCATTTGTTCTGAACAATTACTCTAAAGTACATTTGACTTCAAGTCTACCTTGGAGTCTTCCATTATGTCTTGAGTTTTCATAGCTTCCTGAATTAACATATTCAGTGAAATTTTCATATTATCCAATGTTAGTACTTTAGTCACACTCTGGATACCTAACTTTGAATCATGGCAGATGTGAGTTAACTATGGTTCTATCTTGGGAAAGCCCAGTTCTACCTCTTTCCTTGGTTGCAGGAAAAGCTAAAGCCAACAGGTCTTTTGACCATTTCAGAGTTCTCTACTCACTCATCTCTACTAGACGAAGAAATAGCTTTCAGGAATACCTTGTTTAAATTCATAATTAGAAATTGAGAAACAGTAAGTATTTATAAAGATTTAGCTTTGCTGAAATATGCATCCAATACTCATTACCAAACTGAATCTCTATGCTCTCATCACAATATTCAAAGGCTTTAATAATTTTTCCCAAGAAGAATTCACTATGCTATTTTACATGCCTATCTTTATTTGTAAAGTTAAAGACCCTTTTTAATCTCAGGAGCATCTTACCCTAGAAGTGAACTCCCTATTCCTATCATGGTATACCCTAGAAGGAGATAACTGAGGGCCCAACCATGCTGGCTAACACATAAATTACAAATAGCTCTGCTATCTTTAGTCAGTTTCTGATGATTAATTAGGTATAAAATATTTTCCTAACTATGAATTAATGAACAGTCTTTGTAAAATTGGAATAATCCTGGAATTTTAAGCTCAGGTGAAATGTGTGGCTCCAAGGTATTTCTCATGTGGTTTGCACATTCCCTGGAGGATTAGTTTGTAGTCATTTAGAAGGTGACCACTTAACTTCCTTGTGATTTATCAACACATGATCCACATGCCTTTGACCTTATCCTACCTGAAAGAAAGAAAACCATCAAGAACACAGTGCTGTGATGAGGACTACAAATCCCTACCAACATTATAGCTGTTAAAGCACAGTTCTAGACTAGACAACAGCTGCACATTTCTCTTTGCATTGTATTGTTTAGCTGTTAGTTATTGCTCACAAATCAGACATAGTGAAGTAATCCATTCCGTTTTGGAATATCCTCTATTGTTACTTGATTATTTTCCCCTCCTTCCTAGTGGATCTTTTTGCTGTGTGTGGCTTACCAAAATCTCCTTGCAAGTAAGAAGGGCATTTGCACACCCTGGGTGGTCATTCCTGCAGCACCTGGTGGTCCACATTCTCTGCAGCTCTCACTGCTTGGCTTTCAGAATTCCGCTACAAGGATTTGGTGTCCCCGCGGTACCTCAATCTCATAGCTAATCTGTCTGGATGCACCACTCACAGACCTCTGCCCAACTGCTCTAACATGTGCTTCCATCAGAAGTACCGGGCCCAGGATGGCACATGCAACAACCTGCAGCAGCCCACCTGGGGCGCATCACTCACGGCCTTTGGGCGCCTGCTGCAACCAGCCTATGAGAGTGGCTTCAGCTCACCCCGTGGGGCAGACCGGGCACCTGGGGGGCAGCCGCTCCCCACTCCCGCCGCCCACGCTGGTCTCCACCGAGTTGGCAGGCGCGGTGGCCGTCACCCCTGACCCCAGATACACGCACATGCTCACGCAGTGGGGCCAGTTTGTGGAGCACTACCTGGACCACGCGGGGCCATCGCTGAGCAGCGCTCGCTTTTCCGATGGGCAGCTATGCAGCTCCAACTGCACCCACGACCCTCCCTGCTTCCCCATGACCGATATACACGGCGACCCTCCCTGCGTGGTCTTTGCACGCTCCAGCCCTGTATGTGGCAGCAGGACGACCTCCTCCATGATGAATTCAGTCCACGCACGAGAGCAGATCAACCAGCCCACCGCCTACCTTGATGCTTCCAACGTGTATGGGAGCTCGGAGCAGGAGTCCCAGGCTCTCAGAGACCCCTCTGCACCTGGGGGGCTGCTGAGGATAGGTTTGTCTTGGTCCCCTTCTGGAAAGTTCTTATTGCCCTTCTCTGCAGGCCCGCCCACCCAGTGCACAACACGAGAACAGGACAGCCACAGCCCCTGTTTCCTGGATGGGGACCCCCTGGCCAACGAGCAGCTGGCTCTGAAGGCCATGCATACCCTGTAGTTTCGCGAGCACAACAGGGTGGCCACGAAGCTGTCTGCCTTGAATCCCCAGTGGGATGGAGACACCCTTTATAAGGAAGTCAGGAAGATCGTGGATGCGGAACTGCAGCGCATCACCTACAGCCACTGGCTGCCCAAGATCCTGGGGGACCCTGGCATGAAGATGCTGAGGAAGTACGCGGGCTACGACCCCAATGTGAACGCGGGGATCCTCAACGCTTTTGCTACTGCGACCTTTACATTTGCCCATGCATCAATCAATCCAGTCCTTTATCGACTGAACGACACCTTCGGTGAAATTCCCGCAGGCCACCTCCCACTCCACAAAGCATTCTTTTCACCATCCAGAATAATCGAGGAGGGGGGCATAGATCCACTCTTGCGGGGGCTATTTGGCGTGGCTGCTAAATTGTGGGTGCCCTCGCAGCTGCTCAGTCTTGAGCTTGGCTCTGTGGCCCACTCTTTGGCTCTGGATTCGGTGGCCACCAACATCCAAAGGGGTCGGGACCATGGGATCCCGCCATACATGGACTTCAGAGTTTTTTGTAATTTGACTTCTGTTGAGAATTTCGAGGATCTTCAAAATGAAATTAAAGATTCAGAGATTAGACAAAAGCTGAAAAAGTAAGTATGCTGATGTTTTCTGGATTTTAACATTTCTTGAGAGAGGTAAAATGGGGAGGGCACTTTGCGTGGGTGGAATTTCGTATCCTCGGGGACATCATTGCTGAGCCTTTAGTGACTGCTATTTGTGGGAGATGTTTGACTGCTATTTGTGGGAGATGTTTGATATTGAAGGAAGGATTCCCCAGAGACTGAAGTCCTCTGGTTTGCTCCTTTGTATGTCCTCTGCCTTTGTACATGCAAATTCTGCTGCTGCCTCTTAACTAGCTGGAGGATCTCAATTAGGAGAGGAGAGACAGGCTTGTCTAGTTCATTCATCTTCTCTGGCAATCCAAGCAAGGCCTTTTTGTTGACAGGAGGTAGTAAAATCTGATGTAAAGCCATAAAAATAAACCAGTCCATCACATAAGTCTTCTTACAGCAGAGTCAACAAAAATGGAAACAAATTACTTTTTGTCAAAAGAACAAATCCTTTTAAATTTATCATCAGAATGTAAATAAGGGTCTTTTCACTGCAGGCTTAATGCCTTTTAGTGAAGTATCAGGATTATATTTTTCTATCTGTGAGATTCAAATTTTCTTTGAAGTTTCAAGTATAAAGCATTTGCAGGAACAGCTTCAACGATTCCTTGAGCTCATTGCCTTTTGCCCTTAAAATATTAAACGTGAATAAATGTTTCATCAACTTTTGTCTCTGTTAGGCCAAACATAGACCAGCATATTAACTAGTAGATTAAGATATAGTAAATGTGAAATCTTCAGCAAATATTTAAACATTGTTTGTAAATTATGTAGCTGATTGGCAATACTAGCTCCTGCTTTGCAAAATTAAGAATTTAAATACTTTTACACCACCAAAATTTGTTTGTATGGATTTTTTTGTTTGTGGACTACCAAACTGTGAAAATGTATACTACATTTAAAATGCACCATGCAAGTTGAGTTTGCAAGTGTCTACTGGAAAGGTCATTGGTGTGGTGTTCACAGAGACCTGCTTAAAACTCCATCCCATGACCAGTTAGTATTGAGAGCTTGTGAAAAGTATTTAAATAGTTTTGAATCTCAGAATACTTACAAAATGAAAAAGTAGTGCATCCTTCTCAGCATTAAGTATTAAATTACACAAAATGTTTAGGGCAGTTTCTGCTGCTTAGAAGGCAATCAATACTCATTAGCCCTTGACATTTTATTCTGAGGTTATCATGTCAGTTGTTGGGATCATTATTATGCTACAGTCTGCCTAGATCCAGTCCTGGGCTAGGTGCTGGGACCTGAGAAGAAGGCAGCAGCATCCATGCAACAGAAAGCCTGACTGTGAAAGGGACACAGCACGCTGGGATCATGGGAAGGGTGCCATGGAGGTGGGAATTCAGTACCAGGGGAGCACAGTGCTGGAAGTGGAAGGCATGTGGAAACTGTGATAAAAGACTCCATTGACATGGTTGGTGTCTTCTGGGCATAGGAGTGCAGTTCATGTGATGACAGAGGAAACTGCTGGGCAGGCAGTGGGACTCCAGTCAGGAAGGTGTGGGGTTAAGTGTCAGGGGATAGAAAAGAATAAGGGACAGGTTTCAAAGGGCTTCTGTCCAGGCAAAGGATTTTGATTGTCACCCCTGGTTTAACACTAAAGCAGAAGGGTGACCAGAGGGGAGATGACTCCAGGAAATAATGTGGCAGAAATTTGGAAGACCTAAGAGGAGAGGCTGGGAATCAGAGCTGGGCAGTTACCAGAGTTGTCCAGGTAGAGAAAGAAAGTGGCTTAGACTGTGGTAGTAATGCAGTCCTATCAGAATGGTAGATGTTTCTTGTGGGCAGATTATCTCAATTAAATAAAGCTGGGTCATATTTTGTTCATTTCATTTATGTACCATTGGCAGCAAAGTATGGATTGTAGAGAGATACAAGTGTGACCCGCCTGGGAGATTCATTTTAGTCCCCCAGAGCCCTTGATTTGAAAACTGTTCTCATCACAATACTTCTGACCAGATAAAGTTTTCTAGATGAAATTGAGTCTTTACACTTACTCACACCAATTTTTCATCAAATATTTAATGACCTCAATCAGATATGCTGTATTGTGACTTTGTATGTAAAGAAATGAAAAATTACAAAAGCGAAAGCCATGTGTGTTTATTTTTTAAATTACCTCAAGTTAACCTCAATAACCTCAAGTTTAAAAAAATGTAAACACACATGTACTCACACCAATCAAAATTCATTCAGTTGACTGTGTGGAAGACACACAGTACTGCGCAAACAAAAAGTGACAAGAGGTCAATTAAAAATCAGTCAGTCCTCCCCAAAGGATCAGTTCTTAGAAGGCAATCAGTATGTCCATTTAGCAAAAACAGAATGCAAAATAATTACTTTGGCACTTTTGTAGCTTGACATTTACTTTAACATCAACTGGATAGATTTTATAATGGTGAGTTTTAGTACACATAATGTAATTGTATATTATAAGCATATAAAAATTTTAAACACTGTATATAAATATTCATTACTTTGAGAATCTGTTTCTCCACCTCTAGCCCTTGTCTTTGAAAATACTTTGGTGCTATGTTATGTTCTTTTACTATTATAATAACTCCACTGAAGAAATCTTTACCAACATGTCATGAAGAATTTAACTCTTGCAGAAATGAAGACACTCTAACTCAATAGTTCATGGTTGTATACAATATGAAATCCAAAATGCTTTATAGAAAAAATATGCTGAACAAAATATATGCTTACTCTCTATTTCAAATTCTATTTTGCAAAAAGTCATACCACTGCTTGCAATTTAATGAATTTTGTCTTTAAAAATTCAAATTCTGGTGAAGCTAAAATTAAAATTTTAACCAATGTTACGTGGCAAAAGTAACATGAAGAAAAATGTGATATTCACATTTTAAGTCATCATTGGATAACTTCAGACAATCTTCTTGTCTGTGTGGTCATTAGACAAGTAAAGGCAAGGAGCATTTCATCACTCCAGAAATTTCCCTCTGGTCTTTGCCATCAGCCTTCTCAATCAGTCCTCTCCAGCAACTGCAGATGGGATTTCTGCCACTATATGATAGTTTTTTCTGTTCTAGACTTTCAATAAATGGAACCATATTGTCTGTATTCTCTTAAGCTTGGCTTATTTTTCTCAGTGTGTTTTTGAAATTCATCCATGCTGTGAGGTATAATAGTAGATTATGTATGAGAGGGTAGTTTGTATGAATATACATGTATGTTTTTATTCGTCACCTGTGGTGGCCAGAGTTGTTTCCAGTTTTTATCTATTCTGTGTAACTCTGCCATGAGCACCCTCATCTGCAAGTCTATGTTTCTATTTCTCTTGAATAAAGCCTCTCAGTGCAATTTCTAGGTCACTTGGAATTCTGTTTAACTTCTATTAGGAATGGCAAATTGTTGCCTAAAGTTAGTTGTAGTATGATTTAACTCCCACTGGTAATGCAGAAGAATTTATTTTTTGCTTCATCTCCTTCTGTCTGTTCTTCATGTTGGTAATTCTTTATTTAACTTTCTTTCAAGTTCATGGTCTCTTTCTGCTCTGTCACCTTCAATCTCTTACAAACATCAAGTTGAAATTTTCATTTCAGTCATATATACTACTCATTTAGCATTTGCATTCTTTTTGTGGTTCTGATTCTCTTTTGAAATGGCCTGAATGTTAACTCCCAAGAATGCATGTTCTTTAACTTTCTGAAACATTTATAATAGCTGCTTTAATACTCATTTTTTAATTAAAAAATGTCAACTTCACAGCCCATCATTTTCAGCATTGATTGAAGCTCTATTAACCACTTCTTTTCTTAAGTGTGGTTCCCATTTTTTGTTTCTTTGCCTGTCTTGTCACTTCTGAGTGTATTATCATTACTGTGAGTTCCGCCTGGTCCCTGGTATAGGCTTTAACCAGGGCATTACCTAAGCTTTCTGCTCAGTGGAGCAGCCCAACCTCCCAAACTGTGTGATCCATGCAGGTCTCCCGTGCAGGGATCTGTTTATTAAAACTGAACACCACCGGGTTCACTTCACATGAATGTAAAGCTGGTAAGCACCAAGCAAGAGATAGAAGTGTGAAGACAGTTTATTCCTTGAAGCCAGCAGGGAGAGCACAGGGGATCATTCCCGAAGCAGAAGCAGTTCTCCCACAGCAAACAAAGTGGGGGCTTTACTGAGGAATTCATACATATTCATGAGGACCTACTCATCCTTCAAGTGAGGAGACCACTTCCTGAGTATGCTTATTTGCACCTTTGGACTTTTGACACTTCTTTTATCCCACGTTTGAAAACTGGCTAATGGGTGCCCCCTGGGTGGAGAATTTTAGTTATTACAGTGAGCAAAGTTCATTCTAGTCACCGAAAACGGTGAGAGGATGACGTGAAAGCTTTAGCTGGGCACAGAGGTCAGCCATGTAAGTGTCACTTTGTAAGTTCTCTGGCAGAAGTCCTTGTCTGAAGTAACTTTAGTGGCAGGCTTTACAGTCCTTAAAGGGGTCACAACCTTTTTCCTGCATGCTTAGGTGAATGATTCTGAGAGAACAGGCCTAGGAGCTAATGGTTTGAGTAGGTTTTAGCCTTAACGGACAGAACTTAGCCTCGCGCTCCCTGACTGGCCTCCTGGATGTTATTGAGGTGTTAAGTGTCTTCTTGTTCTGGTTCAACCACCCCTAGAAACAGGCTATTCTTAGGTCTCAGGTACCTCATCCTGCTCCCTACCCAGGGATGTTGGAGGCCTGCACCACACTGCCCACTTCTGCCTTCTGTTAAGCCCCTCAGCTGCCCTGAGCCCCGATGATGGTCTCTGTGCAGCCAGCACTGCTCACCAGATTCTAGACCTTGCAGTTTTGGGAAGTGTTAGGAGAAAAACGCCACTCTTCAAAAGAAAGCTCACGAGAAAACTCACGTCCATAGAGCAAAGTTCAATGGCAGGCCCAAACTGCCAGGCTGACCGGAGAGAAAAGATGGCACAGCCTGGATTTCTGGGGCGAGCAGTGGCTTTTA